GCATGACGACACGGAGGAAACGTCGTGAATCAACTAACCCCCGCCGTGAAGTGTGCGCGACAACTGCTTTCTTGTTGCCTGGCGTTGTTGCTTGCCTGTGTCTGGCTCGTTGTTTCATCGAATTCTCACGGCGAAGAACCCCAGACAGCAGGGCAGGGGCCCACAGCGTTGTTGGCTGAATTGCCGCAACCCGCGAGCGTTTCGTTGCCCGAGCCCCCGGCCATTGAAGATCAAACGGGCGACTCGCTGGCCGGTTATCTCGAGAGCCTCAAGGCCACGCTCGGCGTGCCGGAGCGCGCATTGTCACTGCGTTGGAAAGCCGAGTTCTATGAATGGCTCATCTGGCGATACCACTTCACTCCCTACAAACAGGTCATCACCAGCATCGATCTGCCGACCACCCCTGGCGAACCACCGCTGTGGCTAGCCGGCCGCGACGATGCTACCTGGAACGGCGCCTTGTTAGCGGCGCTCAGCTACAAGTACGCGGCCACGCAAGATCCCTCCACGTTGGCCCACATCGCCGAGTTGCTGCAGGGGATGCACTTCTTCTTCGAAGTTACCGGACAGCCGGGCTATGCCGCACGGTGCGTGGTCTACGAAAACGCGCCCGAGCGGGAAGAGATGACCGACTACGTCGCCCCCGACGGTACCCGTTATCGCTACATGTATGGCCCGGCGAAGGGAACCTACAACCAACTCGCCGGCGGGTACGCCACGCTGATGATGTACGCCTTTGACGATTTGCCGCCCGAAGTGCAGCGTTTGGCTCGCGACGATGTGACGGCCATGGTGCTGCACCTGATCGATCACAACTACAAGCTCACCGACCGCAACGGCGAGCGTTCACCCTACGGCGACATGACTCCCGTGTTCGCCTCGGTCGGCGTTCCGTTCAATGCCCAAGTGGCCTATCAGATCGTCGCCCTGGGCCAGTACTTTGCCGGAGGCGATGCTGCGGCGAAGGCTCGTATCGAAGCGGCCTTCCGCGATCTGCGGGACAAAGAGCACGTCTACTACGAACATCCCTGGCGAAACATCGTGCAACCGCAACGCGTGGGCGGCAGTCCGTTGGTTAAAGGAATGAACGACCGCAATCATGTGACCAACGCCGCCTTCACCTCGCTGGCGATGGACATTCACACCTCGCGCACAGCGGGAGGTCCCCTCGACGAGAACTTCCTCTACCGCATGGGCCGCACCGGCTATCACAGCATGGAGTACCTCGACGGGTGGCATAACGCGCTGTGCAACTTCCAATGGGCCGCCTTGCTCTCCGACCCCGAAGTGTTCGACATGATTATCAATCGCAAGCCCAACAGTGCCCGGGCCCTGATGGAACGCAACCTGCTCGATGGCGTCGAACACCTGCGGCGCTTCCCGTTAGATCGCTTTGCTTACGACGGGTTCGATTCCGAAACCGATCACCCCGGCTGGATCGACCAGTATCGCCCCGACGCCTACCACTGGAAAAACGACACCCGGTGGATCTTCACCCGCACCGGTCCTCGTAAGGCCCGACTGATCTCGGCCATCGACTACCTGCACGCCTACTGGCTCTTCCGTGCACACGGTCTCGACACCAACTCGCTGGTGCAAAAAGCCCACGGCGGCGTGCTGTAGTCCACCGTCGTGTGCTCACATTCATTGGGGTGGCCCAGCCGCGCCGGCTGGGTCGCCAAGGGCGACAAGATGCTTTGAGCAATACTCCGATGAGCCAGTTGAATACTCCCTCAGCAGAAAAGCATCCACAAGACGCGAACGGCAAGTGTCAAGAACCTTCGGTAACTCAATCCACTGCTTAAGGCATCTTGTCGGCTTCGCCGACCCAGCCGGCGCGGCTGGGCCACCCTCTTCACCGAAGTTAACCATTACACGTTAATCGGCTCGGGCTCGTCGCGACGGAAGTTGGCGTAGAGCGATTCCCAGTCGATGACCAAAGTGCCGCCGGCCGACTCATGCTGCTTGGCCCAGTTCACCAGCAGCTCGAGGCACGCGTGATCGATGTAGCTCAGTCCCTCGAAGTCGACGTGCAACTCGGTGTCGGGCGGGATCTGCTCCAGGACGTCGGCCAGTTTTGGCAAGCGGATGAACGTTGCCGAACCTTGCAGTCTCAACACCGCAGTCGAGTCGTCGTCCGAGTATTCGAGATCGGTCTTCAGTTGCGAGAAATTGTACAGAAGCTTGGCGGCCGAAAGCAGCGAACCGACGATGATCCCGGTGAGCAAGTCTTCGATCACGATCACGGCGATCGTCACCAGGAAGATCACGACTTCGCTCTTCCCATACTTCCACAATTCGAGAACGCTCTTGGGGTTGATCAGTTTGTAGCCGATGTAGACCAGAATCGCTCCCAGGCTGGCCCGCGGAATGTAGTTCAACACAAATGGCAGAGTGACCACGAAAGCCAGCAGCCACACACCATGCAGAATGGCCGACAATGGCGACTTAGCCCCCGCGTCGAGGTTCGCCTTACTACGCACAATCACCGCCGTCATGGGCAATGCGCCCAGGCAACCGCAGATGATGTTGCCCACACCCTGGCCAACAAGTTCCTTGTCGTACTTGGTCCGCGGCCCATTGTGCAATTGGTCGACCGCGTTGGCACACAGCAGCGTTTCTGCGCTGGCCACCACAGCCAGCACCACGGCTGCAATTAGAACCTTCTGATCCGTCAACAACCCCATCCAGTCGCTGCTGGGAAACGTGAGGTTGTCGGACAAGTTGTGCGGCACGTCCAAGTTCATAATGTCCAGCCGCATGGCCCAGGCGAACGTGGTGGCCACAATAATTCCCACCAGCGGGCCGGGCACCAGCGACACACGCGAGGGAGCAAACTTTTCCCACAAGATAATGGTGATAATCGTCAGCGCCCCGGTGGCCGCTGCCAAGTGATGCGTGCTTCCGTCCAGCGGAACCAAGCCCTTGTAGAGAGCCCGGGGAATTGTGATGAGGTTCGTTACCCCACTGGCCGCTGGCTGATCGTCGACCATCACGTGAAACTGGCTCGAGAAGATCAACACCCCGATCCCTGCCAACATGCCCTTAATCACCGCGGGCGAAACCGCCCGGAACCACGGGCCCAGCCGGAACACACCGGCTGCAAGCTGTAGCACACCCGCTAATACCACGGCCAACCCAAAGGCAACCAACGCCTGATTGAAGGCCTCCGCTTCGGCCGCAGCACGGGCCGATTCTGAAAGCGACTCCAAATCGCCATGCTGAGCCAGGTAGGCTTCACGCTTTTGATTGATGAAATCGAACACGATCACCGTCAAGCCCGCCGCCGGTCCGCTCACGGCAAGCGGTGAACCGGTGAGAAGGCCGACCACGATGCCGCCGACAATTCCGGTGACCAATCCTCGGGCGGGGTCGACTCCCGAGGCGATCGCGATACCCATGCAAAGCGGCAACGCCACCAGGAATACCACGAACGACGCGAGTAAGTCTTTCTTAGGATCCGTCAGTAAACTAACGCCGTTCTTGTTCGGGGTTCGACGGGGACGATTCGATTTATGATTTTCCATTGCGAAGATCTCTTTGTTTTGTGGAGCCTCTACGTGCCGTGAGTGAGACAAGGATGCTGCGTCTGAATTGATGCCATTGACACGGCCTGCAAACACCGCCAGCGGTTGCATCGCGTGTGATGGAAACGTGTCGCTCCGCGAAATGTACTTACAGAAGTAATTCGGTGAGAGCGTAACGGAGAAAACGCGTGGAGGCTCGATTCACAGAGTCACGAAAAACAGCATTCAAGCTGGCTTGCGAAAGCTTCTGAAGGCCGGATTGCCGGGCAGGATCGAATTCGAGTTTAGCGCGCAAACGGAAAGCGACGATTCTTTAGCATCGCAGCGGCGCGTTGAGGCCATTCGGGAGATGATGGCCATGGCGAAAAGAGTGAACCGCCATCTGAGGACGATTCGCCTGAGGGATATTGGCCGATCCGCAGGCAGCTTTGATTGGATCTCGTTTGCCCGCAGTTAAGCGGCACAGAACCAAGCACTGCGAATGGGTCTCTTCTTCTTCGGTTTGAGTCGACGGGCGTTCCGCATCGGGTGCCGACCAAGCGGTGCCCGACGTGAGAAGCAGCGAGGCCATCACGGTGCACGCAAAGCCTCTCCGCATTCCGCCTAGCAGAAGTGCGGTGAACTCAAGCACCAGCGTCAGGCTATGGCTGTAAACACCAAGTAACAAGCGGAACTCTCACTCTGGGGCCGAGTGTCCTCTGGGGAAAACACCAGGGCCATTGCTATTTAATCTTCGCTCCCGACACACATTCGCTGTCGGGCTGAACCAGCACCACGCGGTCGCCGTCGCTGGCTGCTAGCAGCATGCCGTTCGATTCCTCACCCCGAATCACAGCCCGTTGGAGATTGTTCACAATCACAATCTCTCGACCTACGAGGGCCTCCGGTTCGTAATGGCCCCGGATGCCGGCCACGATCTGCTTCTCGACTTCACCCACCTGAAGTTGCAGAAGCAGCAACTTGTCGGCATTCGGGTGTTCACGTGCGGCAAGGATCTTCGCCACCCGTAAATCGAGACGGGCGAAATCGTCGTAACTGACCGTAACTGGCTCTTCCATCGACAATTGACCTGCTTCCTAAGTTGCAAACAGCATCGGCATTCAGGGGCTCCGGCAACAGCAGCCGGGGCATTTCTTCGCGCTCGAGGTCTAGTGTAGCCCAAATCGGGGTGCTACCGGTTGCATGGCAGTTGATCATCGCCCGACGGGCCAGCAAAGCCAATCCGTCTGACACCCCGATCGCACTTCCCCACGCGTTTTTTTGGTGCTAGGGCAAAAATTTTACGCGTCTTCGCCCTCAGGCGTCAATTGCAGCACGCTTAGCCATCGCCGTGCGAATCCGCTCTAACGCGTGGCAGGATTGCTTGATGCATTTCTGCCCATGGGATACCGTAAGTCTATGGAATGACAAAGGATGCTAGTCACTTCCAGGGCCCATTCAGCACTCCCATCGAAGTTTGTCTGCGAGCCGGCGATGGAATCAAGCCTTCAGTCGCGATCCCGGTTGGTGCTCCTGTTGGGCCTGTTGCTGGTCGTCACCTCGCCCGCAAGTGCCGAAGTCGATCTGGGCCAGGCACGGCGACTCGAACTGGCCGGCAACTACGCCGAAGCTCGCGACATCTATGCTTCGGCCTCCGATGAGTTCCCCTTGGTCTCCGTCCTCGGCCAAGCCCGCTGTCTCGAGGCCGTCGGCGAGATTGAGCCCGCCGAGAAACTCCTCGCCGGCAAGCTAGAGGAATTGGGCGAACAGCCCGAAGCCGCCCCCGTGGCCGCGCTGCTGGCAAAGTTGCAGTTCGACCAGGGCCGCTACGACGACGCCCAGCGAAGTGTCGACGTGGCCCTCGAGCGAGACGGCGACAACCTGCTGGCCCATTGGATCAAGGCCGAGCTGGCCCGCGCGACCGGCCATCTCGATGATGCCAACGACGAATACCGCTGGTTAGTCGACTATTACAACGCTCACGAAGTCCGCGATCCCGACGATCTGCGTTGGATTGCCCTGGGGGCCGCGCAGTTTGCCCGTTGGAACCGTCAAAGCGATCAGTTCACGTTTCTGGTTAGCGAACTATTCCCCGACGCTCTCGCTCGCGAAGATGGCTACTGGCCCGCCCATTACGAAAGCGGGCTGCTGTTCCTCGAAAAATACAATCAGGCCGAAACGCAGAAGTCGCTCGACGCGGCCGTAAAGCTCAACCCCAACGCCGCTGACATCCACGCAGCTCGGGCCGCACTCCATCTTCAGAACTACGACCTTCAGCCGGCCGAAACCTCCATCGAACGGGCGCTGGAGTGCAACCCCCGCCACATCGAAGCCCATCGGCTCAAGGCCGACCTGATGATGGCCAACTTCGAGGTCGACGAGGCGGCCGCACAACTCGAAGCCACGCGCAAGCTCAACCCCGCCTCCGAAGAAACCCTCGGGCGACTCGCCGCAGCCTACCTGGTGCTCGACGGTTATCAGCAAGATCTCACCGGCACTCGCACAGGGCAGCTCATTGAAGAAGTGACCACCCGAAACCTAAACGCGGGCCGTTTCTTCCATGTGCTGGCCACACAGCTTGAAGCACGTCGCAAATTCGACGCTGCCGAACATTTCTTCAAAGATGCCCTCCATCGTCTACCCCAGCTCATCGGCCCCCGCAGTGGCTTGGCCCTGATGTACATGCGCATCGGACGCGAGGCCGAAGCCCAGCAGTTGTTCGCCGAGGCGTTCGAGGTCGACCCCTTCAACGTCCGTGTGAGCAACATGCTCAAAGTGCTAGAAGTGCTGGACGAGTACGCCACGCTCGAAACCGATCACTTCGTCATTCGTTACGACCCGCAGAAAGACAAGATCCTCGCCCGGTATATGGCTCAGTATTTGGAAGAGGTTTACCCCACGCTGTGCAGACAGTTGGGCTACGAACCGGCCGAGAAGTCGCTGTTCGAAATCTTCAACGCCGCCCGCAACACCAACGGGCACGGATGGTTTAGCGCCCGCATGATTGGCCTGCCCTACGTCGGCACCGTGGGTGCTTGCGCGGGCACCATGGTCGCGCTCACTTCGCCCAACGACGCTAAGCAGACGTTCAACTGGGCCCAGGTCGTCAAACACGAATTCGTGCATGTCATCAACCTGCAGCAAACCCAGTTCAACATTCCGCATTGGTTCACCGAGGCCCTGGCCGTTTGGAACGAAGGCTACCCACGCTCGGCCGAATGGAATGCCATGCTCGCCGAACGTGTGCCCCGTGGCGATGTGTTCACCCTGGAGAACTTGAACCTGGGCTTCATCCGCCCCAAGTCGGGGCTCGACTGGCAAATGGCCTACTGCCAGGCCGAACTCTACGCCGAATACATGCTCGAGACCTACGGTGAAGACGCCTTCGCCCGGCTGCTGGACGCCTACACCACGTGCATCTCCAACGAAGACGCCATTCGTCAGGCCTTCGACGTTCCGCTGGAGGAATTCGAACGGGGATACACAAAGTATCTGAACGGCGTTGTCGAAACGCTCACCTCCGAGTCGCCTTCCGCTCAGCTCTCCGAAGCCGAACTCCGCGAGTTGCTCAAGTCCGATCCGAAGAACCCAGACGCCTTATCGCAACTGGCCGTCTCCCATTTGGCCCGCAAAGAATACCCTCAGGCCCGTCGCCTGGCCCAACAGGTGCTCGACGCACAGCCCGATCACCAGTTGGCCAACTACGTCATCGCCCGGCTGTATCTCGTCACCGGTCAGGGCCGCGAGGCAATCGAAGTCTTGAACGAAAGTCTCGATGAGAACGCCCCTCAAGAAAACTCCCTGGCCCTGCTGGCCGCACTCATGGTAAAGGCCAAACAGTACGACGAAGCCGCCCGGCTCTACGAGTTGGGGCGTCAGGCTCAACCCTCCAACCCACGGTGGCTTAAGGGGCTGGCCAGGGTCTACCTCACCACCAACGACGAGCAGAAGCTCGGCGAGTTGCTCAAAGAGTTGGCCCGCACCGACGCCGACGATGTGCAGATTCGCGTGAAGCTCGCCCAGATGGCACTCGACAAGGGCGACAATCAACAGGCCGGCCATTGGGCCCGTCAGGCCATCTACGCCGATGTGCTCAACGAAGAGGCCCATCGCATTCTGGCAGAAGTTGCGCTTCAGGCCGAAGATTACGACACCGCCAGCGAAGAACTGGTAACGCTGGTCGACCTTCGGCCCGACGACCCCGCTTGGCACGAGCAACTCACCGCCATGTGTAACGAAGCCCCTCAGCCTGAGCGAATCCGTGAAAAACTCGAAGCGCTTTTCGATCGGGGTGAGGACTATCGCAGCGCGGGTAAAATCTTGCTAAGGTTCGAGCTATGAACCAACCGCACGAATCCCAAAACAACCCACCGCCGACCTCTGGGGCAACCGATCCAGAGTCATTGCCCGGCCTTCAGCAAATGATTCGTACCATGTATATGCAGAAGGACGTGGCCCGCGGGGTCGACGGAACCTTCATGTGGCTCATGGAAGAGGTCGGGGAACTCTCGGCTGCGCTTCGCGACGGAACGCAGACCGAACGAGAAGAGGAATTCGCCGACGTTCTGGCGTGGTTGGCCACCATCGCCAACGTGGTTGACGTAGACTTGGGGAAGGCCGTCGCGCGCAAGTATGGCTCGGGATGTCCGGGCTGTGGGCAGATGGTTTGCGCTTGTGACGATGCGGAGAAGCCATGAAGCGGCGGAACACTTCAGCAGGCATCATTCCCGGGAGGTCCACTCTTTGGGCCGCGCTGGGCTGCCTGGGGCTCTTCACACTGCTGGTCCTGCTCGCGTTCACATCGCCAGCCACCGCCCAAGAAAAAGCCTCGCCCAAGCCCCGGATTGCCAGTATCCGCATCGGCTTCGATGGGCTGTACAAAGTTGGCCAGTGGACCCCCGTCGAAGTCACCCTGCTCGGCGGCAGCGATACCACCACGGGGCTCGTCACCATCACCACACCCGATGGCGACGGCGTGCCCGTCTCGGTGCAATCTATCGACGGTCAGCCCACCCAGGTCCTAGCCGGTAAAACGGCGACCGCACAGTTGTACGTACGCCCCGGTTCGATTGAAACCGAGATGACGGTTCGCTACAGCTACGATGGACGCACAATCACGCGGAAGTTCACCACCGCCAGCATTGGTGAGCCCAACTCCATCCCCAGCCCGATCGATACCGCGGAAAAAATCATCGTCAGCCTCGGGCCTTCGATCGGCATCGATGAAGCCGCCCTGCTTTCCGGTGAAGGGTACGAGGGTAGCACCAGCGCCGAGCTTCGCGATGCTTCCGAATTGCCCACCCGCTGGTTTGGTTATTCCGGCGTCGATTATCTCGTGCTCACCACCTCCAAGCCCGAGGTTTACACCTCGCTAGTTCCCGGCAACGCCCGCCACACGGCGCTGCTTCGCTGGGTCGAAATGGGTGGCAAGGTCATTCTCTGTGTGGGGGCCAACGCCCCCGAGGTCTTACCAGAAGATGCTCCGCTTGCCGGCCTGCTCGACGGGCGGTTCGAACGCATGGAAACTCGGCAGGGCTTCGAAGCCGGCCAGGTTGGCACCATTCTCGAATCGTACAGCGAGAAGCGCGAACCTATCCGCGGGCTCGCACTCGCCGACGATACCCAGGCCGAACTCAGCATTCCGCTCATCGAAGATTTCGAAGGCGTGGCGATTCTCGAACAAGGCGATCTGCCACTGGTCATCCGCAGCGCCCGCGGGTTTGGCACCGTCACCCTGGTTACGCTCGACCTCGACCTGGCTCCCTTCGCCGGTTGGCAATCGCGTGGTCAAGTGGTGAACAAGCTGATGCGAAAGCCGCCCGAAATCGATATTGAAGACGCCACCAACGCCGGCATGATGGGTTACACCGGCGATCTCACTGCCCAGCTACGCAATGGGCTCGAACAGTTCGAAGGCGTCCGGCTCGTTCCCTTCTGGATCGTGGCCCTGCTGGTCATCATCTACATCCTACTCATCGGGCCAGTCGATTACTTCATCGTCAAAAAAGTATTGAAGCGGATGGAGCTGACTTGGATCACCTTCCCGCTGATGGTTCTCATCGTCAGCGTGGGCGCCTACTTCCTCGCCTTCTGGCTTAAGGGTGATGAAATACGAGTGAACCAGGTCGACATCGTCGACGTCGAACTCCAAACCGGCCTCGTTCGCGGAACCAGTTGGATGAATACGTTCAGCCCTCGCGTGCAGTCGCTGAACCTGGGGATCGAACCCGAGCTTCCCGGCGGGGGCGATGCAGCTCAGGCCGAACGGCTCATGGCCTGGATGGGCATCCCCGGCACGGGCCTCGGCGGTATGTCGGCCCAGTTCGGTTCCACTTCGCTCTGGCCACGCGGTTACTCCTTCTCGCCGAGCCTCGATGAAATGCTGGGCGTGCCGATCCAAGTCTGGTCGACCAAAGCCTTCACCGCCCGCTGGAGCGACTCGCAACAGGGCACTATGGATGCCACGCTCACTTGGGAGGAAGGCGATCTGCTCAAGGGAACCATCACCAGCCATGTCGAAGGCCCGCTCGAAGACGCGGTGCTCTTCGTCAAGAATCGCGCCTACGAAATCGGCGACCTGGAGCCCGACGAGCCTGTGATGATTACCGCCGAAAACACCTGGCGGCAGCTCAGTACCCAACTCAATCGAGACATTAGCAACACCGACTACGAGTACAACCAATACTACGGCATGATGCACGACTTGGATGTGCCCGAGACCGTGCTGTGGATGATGTTCTACGACGCGGCCACGGTGACCAATAACACAGGCCTTCCCGATCCATCGAACAGCTACCAGGGATTCATCGACCTCAGCGATCTTCTCGAAACCAATCGAGCCATATTGCTCACCCGCACTAACCGCAACGGGGCCGAATTCACCGATGGCCAACGCGTGCTCGGGGGGCCGCAAGATCGTCGCTGGACGTATTACCGGTTTGTTATTGCCATGTCCCCCGCAGAAGAGTCTGGCGAGTGAGCCCGCCGTTGCACCCCGAAGCCGCCCGACAAGCTACTTTTGCGAACCTCGACTGATTGCCCCTTGAAGGAACTCGACACGTGATCGAAACCCGCGATCTAACCAAAACCTACGGCGATCTGTACGCGGTTAAAAGCCTCAACCTGAAGTTGGACAAAGGCGACGTGTTCGGCTTCATCGGCCCCAACGGTGCCGGCAAAACCACCACCATGCGGATCCTGGCCACGCTGCTCAATCCCACACACGGAGAAGCCTACGTCTGCGGGCACTCCATTTACACCGATCCCAAAGAAATCCGCCGCCTCATCGGCTACATGCCCGACTTCTTCGGCGTGTACGACGACATGAAGGTCATCGAATACCTGGAATTCTTCGCCGCGGCCTACCGCATCAAAGGCCCGGCCCGTCGCAAAATCTGCGATGAAGTGTTGGAATTGGTCGACCTCACCTACAAACGAGACGCCCTAGTGACGAGCCTCTCCCGCGGGATGACCCAACGCCTGGGGCTCGCCCGCGTTCTCTTGCACGACCCTCATGTTCTCTTGCTCGACGAACCCGCCAGCGGCCTCGACCCCCGCGCCCGCATCGAAATCCGTGGGCTGCTCAAAGAGCTACGCAACATGGGCAAGACGATCATGATCTCCAGCCACATTCTGCCCGAGCTGGCCGACATCTGTAACAAGATCGGCATCATCGAAAAGGGCGAACTCCTGGTGAACGCCTCGGTGGCCGAAGTGATGAAACAAGTCCGAGGCCAAGGCACCCTCCGCATCGCCCTGGCTGGCGACCCAACTTCCGCCGCGCCGCTGCTCGAATCCCACGAGCTAGTCGACAGCGTCGAAATCATCGACGGACAACTCCTCGTCAAGCTCGCCCCCGGAGTCGAAGACTACAGCCCACTCCCCAGTGTCCTCATCGAAGCCGGCCACAAGATCACCCTCTTCAAAGAAGACGAACTCAACCTGGAAACCGCCTTCATGACCCTGACGAAGGGGATTACGTCTTAGCTGGCGATCTCGCTCTTCACACGGGTGGCCCGGCCGCACCGGCCGGGTCGCCGCAGGCGACAAGATGCCTTGAGTAATCGTCTACAGACTTGATAGAGCGGATGTTTAGAAAAAGTTCTGGGCTCTGATCGTCCTGAAACCTCGCACTGCCTGCAGATTATCCCGCACCTAAAAGCATCTTGACGGCTTCGCCGTCCCAGCCGGCGCGGCTGGGCCACCCTCTAGTGACTTGCCCTACCTAGTCCAGCAATTACCACGGGTGGCCCGGCCGCATCGGCCGGGTCGCCGCAGGCGACAAGATGCCTTGAGTAAACGTCTACAGACTTGATAGAGCCGATGTTTCGAAAAAGCTCTGGGCTCTGATCGTCCTGAAACCTCGCGCTGCCTGCAGATTATCCCGCACCTAAAAGCATCTTGACGGCTTTGCCGTCCCAGCCGGCGCGGCTGGGCCACCCTGCAGACTGTCGCCCGAACTACCCCAACAACAACCGCACCGCCTCCACAATCCCGTCTTCATCACAAGACGGCACCACATGATCGGCGGCGGCCTGCACCTCCGGCACTGCGTTCGCCATCGCGATCCCCAACCCGGCGGCTTCGATCATCGGCAAGTCGTTCACATCATCGCCCACGGCGCAAATCTCGTGATCTTCGATGCCCCACTCGCGGGCCAGGTATTGAATGCCCGACCACTTGGTCACACCCGCGGGGGCAATCTCACACATGAATCCCTGATAGCGAGGGCTCCGCAACACGTGGGTGTACAGCCGCTCGGGTAGCCTCGCTTGAATCGCCTCGTGCACCCGTAACATTTCACTTTGCGTTCCCATCGCGAAGCAGGCGAAAATATCATCCGGCGGGTCGACCATCAGCCGCGGCCAATCGCGCGACCAACCTTCATTCAGCGACAGGAACTCCGCCAGCAGCGGTTCCGGCATCTCATTCGGTGGGCGATAGAACTCGAACCCTTCGTGGAAGGTGTCGGTATACAGCATGGCGTCGTACCCATGCTCATCGATCACCTGCAGCACCTGCCGCAGCAGTGGCCCTTCGATGTGCGCCCGATACAGCGTCTCGTGCGATCCGGGCACCTTAATCAACGCACCACTGGCCGTAATCACCGGCACCTGCAACCGCAACGGTTCCACCAAAGGCAACGCCCGCCCATACCGTCGCCCCGTGGCCAGCACCACGTGCACTCCCGCATCCAACGCCCTGGAAATCGCCTCGCGAGTTCTATCCGTCAGCGCATCGCGACTATTGACCAACGTGCCGTCAATATCAACCGCGAACAAACGAAAGCGTGGCATAGCAGGCTGCAGTCCCGTGAAACAACTCTAAATGGGTAACTGTCTGAGAACGAATGATAGCCATCAACGGAGAGAATGGTCGAACGGCGAGCAAAACTGTCCTAGTTAGACGGTTGTACGACTACTAGACAATTCGCAACCTTCGACCACCACCCTGCTCAGCCAGCACACGGCCAATTGCCACCGGCTCCCACGGCGTGGTTTCACGAAGGCGATTCACGCAGGCATTCACATGCCGTTCAGGCACGGCAAGCAACAACCCCCCAGAAGTCTGCGGGTCGAACAGGGCAGAGTAGGGCGGGCTGTCACGCAGCGACTCATCGCCATCCATTTCTGCCTCCACGCTGCGATTCGCCGGCGCCAACGTACTTTCCAGCCCCTCACTCAACAGTTCCGCAGCTCCGGGCAACAGGGGGATGTCGGCCATCCGCAACTCGGCCGCCACGTCGCTCGCCCGCAGCATCTCCATCAGATGCCCGGCCAGCCCGAACCCCGTGATGTCGGTCACCGCTTGAATATCAAACTCCCCGAGCAGCCCCTCCGGCAGCGCGTTACTCACCAGCATCGACGCGACGAGCGACTCGTACCACGCCGCGCGGCATTTCGCCTGCATGTGGGCGGCCAGCAGCACGCCGGTCCCCAGCGGTTTGGTCAGCACCAGCACATCACCTGAGCGAAGTCCCGACTTCAGCGTGGCACCACTCGCCGGTCCGTCGGCCACCAAGGTGTACCCCAAGGTGGCCCGAGGGCCTTCGATCGTATGCCCACCAGCCAGCGTGGCCCCCACCTGGCGAAACTCGCGCAGCCCGCCGGCGAGCATCTCATATAGCATCTGCTCTTGCTGCCGTGCTGGGCCCACCGGCAACGTGGCCATCGCCAACGCCGCAACCGGCTGCCCACCCAGCGCGAAGATATCGCTGGCCGCGTTGAGAGCCGCAATCCTGCCCACGAGATATGGGTCGTCGACAAACGAAGCGAAGAAGTCGGTCGTCACCAGTACCGGTTGATTGGGCGAGGCACTCACCACCGCCGCGTCGTCCGGTTGATCGAGCCCCACCAGCACCCGCTCTGATTTCGGGAGATCCAAACGCTCGAGCACCCGGTGCAGCACATCGCCGCCCACCTTCCCGCCGCAGCCTGCGCATCGCATCGTGCTGTCCGCCGGCTCACTCGCATCGCCGGCGGCGTCCATCGTCATTGGCTCGTAGTTCTGAAACTTCTCCATGAACCGCCGATCGATGCGGTCCTTCAGCTTCCAACACCACCTCGCGGTGGCACTGAAACCCTTGTAGTCGGCAATCGCTCGCCCATCGCCGGTGGAGAGCAACTTCAAGAACCCATGCTGCGGCTTGTACTCCTCCAGCGGCAGCCCGTTGAGTCGGCGATTGATGTTCTGCCACAAGACCGGCCCCTGCCGTACGGCATACACCCCGGCCTTCGGCGTGCTGTGAGTGAGAATCGTTCCCGTATCACCCACCGCGAAGATCGGCTCACCCGAAACCGACTGCAGCGTCGATTCTGCGAGCAGGAATCCAGAGTCATCCGTCGGCAGCCCCAACTTGCCCAACAGCGGTGGAGCCTCCGCCCCTGTAGTCCACAACACCAAGTCGGCCGGCACCTCACATCCGTCGCTGAGTTGCACCGCTCCCTTGCTCACCCGGGCGACCGTCTGCCCCAAGATGATCTCCACTTCCCGACGCGCCAGTTCTTGCCCAACCCGTCTCACGGCCTTGTCACTCAAGCCTCGGGCTAAGTGCTGGTGGCGATCGATCAGTACCAACTCGGGCGCAGTGCCCAACAGATTCTTCACATGCGGGGTCAGCCCCAGCGTGATCTCCACGCCGGCCACACCCCCGCCCACCACGGCGATACGCAACGCTCGATCGCCCGCCTCTTCTGCCGCACGATGCAGTCGCTGGTCGAGCCGCGCTAGAAACGTCTGCATCGGCTTGATCGGAATCGGTCGCTTTCCCGGCTCGGCATCATCGTCGCCGGCGACCTCATCAAGCCCGCTGGGAACCGAACCAACGCCGATCGAAAGCACGTCGTAGGGCAGGGTGGCGCGGTCGGCGAGCAACACTTCCCGCCGCGCGAGATCGAGCCCCTCGACGTCGGCCTCCAAGAAGCGTACCCCCGCCGCAGCACACAACCGCACCAGGTCGATCTGCATTTGCTCGCGGTCGTACAAGCCGGCCAGAGTGCCGGGCAACATGCCCGAGTAAGTGGCCACCGAGAAGTCGGAGATGCACGTCAGCCGCACATTCCGCGGGGCGCTCATCTTCCACATGCGAATGATATGGCAGTGCGTATGCCCAGCGCCGATCAGCACAATATCTTGGTTGGGCAGCGTCGCGTTCATCGAGGCTCGGCACGGAGGGCACGCTTGCGGTAAACGCTTATTCTACGTGCAACCACCCGCAGGCGACACCGCCGGCCGTCATTCGCCGCTCGAATCCAACCCGGCTTCGGCAGCCGTGGGGAAGGGGTCGGCCAGCGCCGTCTCGCGCACTTCGGCCAAGCGTTCTGCGTCTTCGTGAGAATCGTCCGCCACGATGTTGGCGTCTGGCGGCAAGTCGATGGACGAACACCCGACGGCCGATGCCGCACTTAGCAGCACCAACAGCATGCTCAGCCGCAGCGAGTTCTCAGCCAGTCGAGCGAAACAGAAAAGAACTAACTGCACGATCAGGTACCTTGAGATTCAGGCCTTGATTGAATGAATGCAGGGCTCACGGCTCACGCTTGCAAAACAAATCGACCCATGCAGATTACAAACCACCGTCGGGGCGATCTTGCTGCAAAAAGTCGGACATCGTTTTCGACGGGTGAGGGGCCTCTTCCCTCTGGAACAGCGAACTGAACCAGCCGGGCTCCTCCTCTTCGTCCTGCTTCGACCACCTCGAATTCGAGTTCGACGAACTCTGCTGCCACGTCGGGTACCGGCTCGTCGACTCTTCTTCCGAGTCGTCACGCAAGAATTGAAACGTCAGTACATCGGTTGTCTTGGCGAAGAACGTCTTGGTCCCATCACCCACTTTGGCGAACACCGAAGGCCCGTCGTTACTTTTCTTCTTCGTAGTATTCTTTTGATAGGGGCTGCCAATCAACGGGCGCCCATTCATCATGGCGGTCTTGCTCGATCCACTATTGCTCGAGGGCAACAAGTTCTTGAACGACCAACCATCGGCCATAGCCGTAGCCGGGGCAAGCAGCATCACAATCAACAACGATGCGATGATTCGCATGATCTCAAACCTTATTCGAGTGTGCTCGCAGACCGGGAATGGTCCAGGGCGAACGCCCGCGAGTCTTGGGAAAAGTTTCCGCCGGGAGTGTGTCAAACTCACCAAAGTGCGTCCAGGTCGATTTCCCGCGGAACTTCACCGGTTTTGCATGCGTTGAAGGCAGCCCTCGATTGTCCGTTTTCCGCATATGGCTTAAATTGTGCCAATTCGTCAGTTCCACCACGCGAGAGACACAATGGCAGAGTTGAAACTGGGTTTTCTGGGTGCCGGGCAAATGGCAACCGCCCTGGCCGAAGGGTTCGTCGCCGCCAAGTTGGTCCCCTCCAAGGGCATCATCGCGGCCGATCCCTCGCCCGAGGCCCGTGCCAACTTCGCTGCGGCTTGTGGTGCCAGGGTGGTCGAAGACAACGCCGAAGTGCTCGAAAACGCCAGCGTCGTATTCTTGGCCGTTAAGCCGCAGCATGCCCCGGCCGTGCTAGCCCCGCTCAAGTCCGCCTGGAGCGAAGATCACCTCATCGTCTCCATCGCCGCCGGGCTGACGACCGCCTCAATCGCGAAACAAACCGCCGACACGCCTCGGCTCATTCGCGTGATGCCGAACACGCCTTGCCTGGTGGGCTACAGTGCAAGTGCCTTCAGTCTCGGCCCTCGGGCTACCACGGCCGACGCCGAATTGGTCGAGCGTTTGCTCGCCGCGGTCGGTCAGGCACACCAACTAGACGAGTCGCTGCTCGACGCCGTCACCGGGCTCTCCGGGTCGGGGCCGGCCTTCGTGTATCAGATCATCGAGGCTCTCAGCGACGGGGGAGTCCGCATGGGGCTCCCACGGGCGGTGGCCACCGCGCTGGCCGCCCAGACCGTACGGGGGGCTGCCGAAATGGTCCTCGTCACTGGTGAACACCCGGCCACGCTGAAAGACCGAGTGGCCTCCCCAGGCGGGACCACCATCGCGGGGTTGCAGGCCCTAGAGCAAGGCGGTCTCAGGGCCACCTTGATGTCCGCAGTCGAGGCGGCCACACGTCGCTCGACGGAATTGGGGCAATCGACCTAGAATTAGGCAGACACCCGAGGGATCGAGCGGTTCGAACCTTCGCCAACTGAATCAGAATGAATTCGTACGGCCGACGGCGTCCGCGGGGCAGTCTGGCGTCGCCGCCAAGATTTCCCACTCGGGGCACAGTCGCCCAACCGGGAAGTGAACTGAACGAGGTGCACCACCATGTCCATCCTTTGTCTCGTCGACGACAAGCACGTTCCGCTGTATCGGGTGATTTGGGTTTCCGACACCCCGCACTTTTGCGGCGAGGACGATTGTCAATGTGAAGGCATGTACGAAATTCGCCTGGAACAAGGCGAGTCGGTGTGGAGCACCCAGGGTGATCGCGATCGCATGATCAAGGCCCTGGAGACGTGGCAAGGCGGAATGTCTCCGCCAGACGATTCGTGGGAAGCGTAAGTCCGCGACCCCTCTTCGAGGAAAGGATGATACCGATGTCAATGTTTCAAGACGACTCCTACGACTGGCGCGATACGTACTTCGTGCTGTTCCAGTCGGGTCATCGTCCACAACTCGAAGAAGTGAAGCGCCTCGTCGAGCAACTCAATCCCCGCTATGAACTTTCGAACCTGCACGCCGATGAGAACGGGCAGTTCGAGTCGCTCACAATCCGCTCGCCGGCCGACTTCACGGCCATCGACGTCAGCTTTCTCGACGGCGAAGAAGTGATCGAGCAGCGCGACACCTTCCTCGAAGAGTTGGCCGGCGAAGACCGCGACGAATTCGAACAAGAGAAGTGGGAACGCTTCGCCCAGTGCGATGCCCGTTTCGACGTGATGCACTTCGAACAGGTCAGCGATGCCGAACAGGAAGGCCCCGACGCCATGGTCGACCCAGGGGCATTGATCAATATCATCGATGCCCTGACCGACCTCACCGAAGGCGTCGGGATCGATCCCCAGTCGGGTATGTTGATGTAAAGGCGCTGGAGCAATAACGGTGCAGTAATATCGGTGGACGCCTCGCAGTTCTAAGGGCATGTCACTAGGGTGGCGATCCCCAAGAGTTAGCAACCAGCGCCGTTAGGGAGCGAGGCTATTCTTTCTGTGAGTTCTTTCCACGCGACCCAAGTGCGGTTGCGTTGTAGACAAATCTGGTAATCAGGAACAATCGATGATTGCGAAGGACATCAAGACGGGCACGGCGGTGGTGTACAACGGGCAGCCGTGTTTGATCCGCACGATCACCGTGCAATCTCCCTCAGCCCGAGGGGCCGCCACGCTCTATAAATATCGAGCCACCAACCTCACCACCGGCCAAAAAGTCGACATCACGCTCAAGGGTGGAGAATCGCTGGACGAGGCCGACTTTATTCGCAAGCCGGTGAAGCTGATGTACACCGACAGCGAGTTCGGGCACTTTCTCGACCAGGAAGACTACAACCAGTACTCCCTCCCGCTGGACTCGGTGAGCGAAGACTTGCAGTACATCACCGAAGAAACCGAGGGCGTGCTGGCCATGATCTACAACGACGTCTGCATCGGCATCCAAATCCCGTTGACCGTCGAGCTGAAAGTCACCCAGTGCGACCCAGCCGCTAAAGGCAATTCGGCCACCAGCCGCACCAAGCCCGCCACGCTCGAAACCAACCTCGTCGTGCAAGTGCCCGAGTACCTAGCCGACGGCGAGACCATCAAAGTCGACACCCAAACCGGCAAGTTTCTCTCCCGGGCGTGATGGACAAAGGAGCAATCCCTCCCGTGGACCGAAGCATTCTTAAGGGACAAGCAGATGGTCGCATTGGATCCGTCATCTCACTTTGTCACAGTGATAATTACACGTTGGTAACGGGTCAGCGGTAGTATTTGCCGATCACTTACCTCGCAAACGATGTGCTGGGATTCACCCAGCTTGGCGTCTGCCGGAATGCTAACGGTCACTTCCGGTTGGTTCTCGTGCTCAATGCTGATGGGTCCCGAGTAGGTGCCGGCTTCGGTATAAGGCCACCAGCGAAAGGACAACGCATCTCCGTCAGGATCGAACGACTGCAGAGCATCGAGTCGGACCACGTCGCCGGCACGAGCTTCGAGGTCTGCATCACCGGAGAGCACGACACGCGGGGGATGGTTCGATTCTTGGGGGCTCTGGACGCACCAGTCGGCGCGGGCCGCCCAGTCGTTTTGAAAAGCCGGTGCCCAGCGAAGGATGCTATGAGGCTTCAAACCCTCTCGGTCGGTCGACTTCCAAACATTATGAGAGAAAGCAAACCGCCCGCCCCATCCGCCAAACGACGGATTTTCATGACTGCGGAGCCCGGTGTCGATCACATGTAAGAAGGCGGGCGAATCCCCCTCGGAACGAAAACGTCCCTCTTTCGCTTCGTACATCTCACACAATGGGCCATGGTCTACGAGGATGTTTGTGGTCATCCATTTGCGGTCGAAGTAAGTCTCTGTTTCCTTCGATTGCATCTTTTTCCAGCCATACGCAATCGCTCCGAACGAAGGTCCACTGCTTCGCAGAGTTTGAATCTCCGGCCACTCGGGACGAAGATACGTCTGGAAGGTATTATCCTGCTCGGTAATCAAGTAGATGCGCGCCTTCTTGGCAACCTCCGCAACGCGATCGGAGTGCTCCTCTTGGATGGTTTGCAAAGCCTGTGCAATCGTGTTCGAACCTCCCCAAGCTTGAAGCCATACCGGAGAATCATCCGGCTCAAGGAGCACCTTTACGATTTGCATAGAGCCAGGCGTGGGGCCGCTCATGTCACCTTCAAAGGCAATGTTTCCAACAAATACTTGCGACCGAAGATATTCGGGTGTTGGATAGCCCTTCTGGTGTTGCTGCAGGTTGGGGTACACCTTGGCGTAGGCGTCAAGCTGACGATCGAGCCACTCGACAGGCTCCCAGTCGTGCTCTGGATGACGATCGTCGCCCTTCCAGTGATACTTCGAGCTTGAGTGAATTAGTCCTTGGATGTCCCATTCATTCGCATATAGCAAGAAACGGATCATGGAGCAGCGATCGTCAATCTCGCCATCGGTAGTTACGATCACCCGCGGCTTCCCTTCCGCAACAGACGATAACACGAATACAAGGCACAAGCAGATACCGAGAACGGACCGACGGCCATCGAACTGTTGAATGCAAGACATGGAAGGAAGTCCTCGCAGGGTGCGTGCCCGAAAGTTCTCATACTGAGTGAGCCTGACATCCATTCAAGCTCGCAACAGCCAGTATTGTAGCAACGTGCATCCCCAATCCGCCTCCAGTGTGGTTTGGTTTGTTCAATGCACAGCTATTCCCATCTCTATCGGGTTCCCCAATCAGCCGGGCACTAATTTGAGGAGTCCTCCCGTGTACTGCAAAGAAAGACGCATCTTGAAAGCAGTGTGAACGAAAAACTCCAAGGTGTAGCCACGAGCTGCCAATCAAACCGACTTAGAACTGGAAGCCACAGCAGTTGCCTGATTTTCAAGCTCAGCTTCCCAGTCGGCATAACCCCACTATTCATGGTCTGAACCATGTAGCCTCTCCAACCAATTTCAAGCTTCGCGCCCCTCCCTACCAAAATCTGTTTTGGTAGTCCCTCTGTGGGGGCCGAAGTAGGACTAAGGCGCCAGCAGTGCGCGCCCGGCTGCCTCCCGCAAAGTCCTTCAGAAATTCCTGCACCTCTCAAGCCCATGAGCAGAATCTCGCGAATCCTGATCCTGCTCACTGGCCTTTGCCTGGTGCTTGGGCTCGTCACGCCGGCGTTCGCCCAACACCTGGCCGTGCGGCGACCCGACCAGTACCCCTCGCCCACGGTGAAGGTTCCCGCCGCCGGGCACATGTTCGATGCCGATTATTCCTGGGCCGACAACACACTTAGCGGCGACTGGTTTGGCCTGCGGGGAGAACTTGCTCAGCGAGGCGTCGTGTTCGGCATTCGCTATGTGCCCCTGTTGTTACACAACACCACCGGAGGATTTGATACCGGCTTCTTTGGCGGCGGTCCCTTGGGTACCACTGTCACAGTTGATACCGATCTCTTGATGGGTCACGAAGGCGGTACGCTGTTCTTCGATTACGAATTCTTCTCCTGGTACAACGGGCGGTTTCCAACCAATAGCCAGTTCGACCCCACGGGCTCCTACGTCGGTGTTGATACCAACCTCATCGAGAGCGACGACAAGCGACTCAACCAGGTAGCGCAGCTCTACTACGAACAGTCGATGTTCGACGACAAGTTCACCTGGAGCTTTGGCAAGATGGACGCCAACGCCCCGTTCGCCGCGGTGCAAGCGGCCGGTGCGTTCCAGAACAGCATCGCGATGTACACCTCGACGCTGAACCCTTTCATTCCAACCTATCCCAACGAGTCGACCGCCCTGGTCGTGTCGGCCAACGCCACCGACAACCTCTCCGGCTCTTTCGGTTGGTTCGACGGAACCACCGCCGCCTACGATCCGACCACGGGAATCAGTGGCCCATCCACGGGGCCACGAGGGCCATCGACGTTCTTCAATAACGATGGCCACTGGTTTCTCATCACGCAGGTCGATCTCAACTGGCAACTCGACGATCGACTGCCCGGCTCCGTCGGGGCAGGGGCCTGGATGCAAACGGGGCTCACCGCCACCTCGGGCACCAACACCGACGGCGTGAGCGACGTGCCCGGCTGTTATCTGCAGTGGCAGCAAATCGTCTGGTCGCCCAGCGATGAGATTGCCGCCGACGGCGGGGGCGTTGCGTACTTCGGGCAGTTCGGTTGGAGCGACCCGAACAAGAACCCCGTGCATTGGTCACTGATGACAGGGCTTTCGGCCACGGGCATCTTCCCCAGCCGCCCGGCCGACGCCCTGGGCTGCATGTTCGCCTACACGCACTACACTTCGAACCCGGCCATTTACCAGTCGACTCAGCGGAACGGGCTCTCCGGTCCCTCGGGCGGTCACGAACTCTCGCTCGAATCGTTCTACATTTGGTATTGGAAGTCGTGGTCGTACCTGCAGCCGGGCGTGATGTGGATCAACTCACCCGGCGGAGGCGACCCGGCCCCACTGGACGACGATGTGCTGGCCTACCTGTTGGTGGGCATCGAGTTATAAGCGGAAATGGCCGCTATTCTTCGCTGGGAAAGCCAGCTTTCGGGCATTTTGCAAGTTGCCCGGCGTTCCAATTGTCCTATCTTTGAGGGCAGGTTTTCGTGGTTTCCAGCCGACCCTATTCGTTCACCCTCGTGGTACTAATTCGATGCAACACGAATTCCCCCAAGTCTCCCGACGTCGCATGATCCAGGCCGGTGCCGGCCTCCCGCTGGCCTTGGCCGCTTCCAACGTACTAGGCGACGCCCCGGCAAGCCGAACACCCGCTGCGCAAGCGATTCCTCCGACTCAAGCCAAGCCGGATTACGTCTGCAACATCGAAGCCAAAACCATCGCCCCTTTGGGCAAACCGACCGAAGCCACACTCATCAACGGGACACTGCCGGGCACCGAAATTCGCTATCGCGAAGGCGACATGTTTCGCGTGCTGGTCAACAACCACCTCGACGTGCCCACCACGCTGCATTGGCACGGGATGATTGTCCCTAACTACATGGACGGGGTCCCAGGCGTAACGCAGATGCCCATCGCCCCCGGCGACTCGGTTCTCTACGAGTACGTGCTTCGTCAGTCCGGCACCTACTGGTATCACTCGCACTATGGATTTCAGGAACAAACCGGGCTCAGCGGTCCGCTAATCATCGAAGCCAAAGACGAGCCCCACGCCTGCGATCACGATGTCGTGGTCATGCTCTCCGACTGGCTCGATCAATCGCCCGAGGGAATCATTCCGCAGATCCGCGGGCAGCAGCCGGCCACCTCCGCAGTGAAGGTGCCCGACACGCCGGGCTACCCGTTCCCGCAAGACAAGAAGTTCAACGTCGATATCAACTATCCCGGCTACCTGATCAACGGCCAGTCGAACCAGAGCCCCTGGTCGCTCAAGGTCCGCAAAGGCGACCGCATCCGGTTGCGATGCATCAACAGCTCGACCGCCACCTTCTTCCAGGTGGCCCTCGAAGGTCATCAGATGGAAATGATCGCCGCCGACGGGCAAGACATCGTCCCGTTGACCGTCGACAACTTCGTCATCGCAGCCGCCGAACGTTACGACCTGTTGGTCACGATTAAAGAATCCGGCAGTTTCACGCTGCACGCCGCCGCGCTGGGAACCGACCAGCAAGCTGTGGGCGTTGTGCACACGGCAGATGCAGCTCCGAAAGTGAATTTGCAGAAGCCCCAGTTCAGTGGAGTCTCAGGCGGGATGGCCGACTATGCGTCGCTGAAGTCGCCAGTGAACACGACCTTGCCCGAGGGGGAGGTGAAGTCGTTCGTTATCGACCTCGGTGGGCAGATGATGAAATACCTGTGGTCGATGAACGGCGAATACTTCCCCGAGGTCTTCTCGCCCGACGGGAAGGCCACCCCGCTAACCATCAAGTCAGGCGATCGCGTTCGCATGCGATTGACGAACTCAACGATGATGTATCATCCGATGCACTTGCACGGCCATTTCTTCCGGCTACTCACGGGCGATGGCCCTCAACCGATGGCCCCGCTGAAAGACACAGTGGCCGTCGGGCCCAAGCAGCAAATCAACTTCGAATTCACTGCCGACAACCCCGGCAACTGGTTCTTCCACTGCCACAACCTCTACCACCTCGCCTCCGGCATGGCGAGAGTAATCCGCTACGAAGTGTAGCGTGACGTCAGTGTGTCAGGTTCCCACGAAGGGTGGCCCAGGTTTTCAAACCTGGGTCGCCGCAGGCGACAAGAGGTCCCGCGGTTCGCATGACTCAGTGCGTATCGTCGAAGTCTCCACCAGACTCGGACAGACCGATAGCCGGAGGCTAAGAATCTGCTGGGAACGAAACACCGACCGCACAACCTCTCGCGGCTTCGCCGCACCGGATCAAGATCCGGTGCCACCCAAAGTGCATCCAGCTTGCTGAGTTCATGCGAAAATATGCCGAAGGCATATCACAACAAAGCCCAGGGTCGCGTAACGCACCCTGGGGCCAAGAATCCGCCAGGCACACGCAAAACCCCAACGGGGTTTTACATCGGTGCGGCTCTCACCTAAGCCCCGCAGAAGTTCCGAATCACGCTCCAATGCACAGGGCTAATCTGCTCCAACAACGGACGGGCCAACTCGGCCACGGTTCCGTCTTCGCAGCGATTGTCGGCCACGACAATCAGTTCGGCCACACCCGCGGCCGAGAGCACCGAGCCCAGCCGCTCGCTGTTTGCGGCCGTACCACAGTCGGCCAGAATCACGTCGAAGTGATTTGCCAGTGGCTGCCAGAATCGCTGCGCCAGGTTGGTCGCATCGAGCTTCGGCGAGGCCCCGGCCGATTGGCACAACGGCGACAGGGTGATCTTGTCCTGCACCGACTCGATCAGCACTTCTTCCAACGCCACCCCGTCGTCCAGTGTGGCCAACCACGAGATCATCGGACGCACGCCCAGGGCCTGAGCCAACGCCGGGTTGGGTTCGTCCAGGTCGACTAGAGCGACTGAAAGGTTTTGCTCAGCGAACAGTCGCGCCATCGCCAGCGTCATCGTTGTCGTGCCCGACTCAGGCCGGTCACCCGTTACGGCCACAATCTGAGTCCGATTCGCGGCGGCTTGCGCTAACCGATCGGTCAACTGTCCGATCGTCTCGCCCACGGTGGACAAAATCGTATCCACCACCGGTGGCCAGGCGAAGTGATCCACTTCCAACGCCGGCTGCCAATTCTCTTCAGTGGCTACCGACAGTGCGGCCTGCGCGGCACTAGGACGCTCCTCACCCGGCGTGGCAATTCCGGCCGCCTGACGATTCAGCATGCCGATCATCGCTCGGGCGTCATCGACCGGAGCTTCCACTTCGGGGGCTTCCACCACGGGGGCATCAACCAACTCCGTGGCGTACTCAACCGGCTCGCTATCGAAGCTGGTCGTATCGGCGACTGCCGCCTGGGTGGCAACACTGGCCGAGGCGAACTTGGCCGCGGGAGCCTGACGGAAGGCCTTAACCAACAGTTGATCAGTAGTGCTCATGAAGGGTTCCCGATTGGGGTTGCTCGATGGTTCCGCGAAGTTGCGCGGCCCCGGTGCCACTGGTCGGTTCCGGCGGTCGCTGCGCCACATGCTGAGGTGTCCAATTCAATTGCGGAGCGACGGTCGTCGGATAGGTGGTTGCCATGTTCGCCGCCGGCGGGCGATTCATCGTGGCCGGTAGCGGGGTGTACGTGGGGTTGATAATCCGCTGCGGTTGCGGTCGGGCCGAAGCCGTGTTGCCAGCCGTGGGGCCCGATGGCGGAGCCTCGAACATCGGCGTAGCCGTCTGCGGCCATACCGAAGCCTGCGGCGTTTGCGTCGGCAGCGGTCCGTCGATCACCGCCGGAAGATTAGTCGCAGCCTGGGGGTACATCCCGCTCCACGGCAATTTCTGTTGAGCAGTGCCATTTGGCGAATTCGCATGAGGCCCCAGCGGTCGTTGAATCGTCGTGTTCTGCACCGGCGGGGTCGTCACTTCGGTTACCATCATCGGCGAGGGTGTCGCGCCGACCGGCGCTTGCGGTGCCGCAGCAGGAGGTTGCACTGTCGGCACGGCTTGAGCCACATAAGGAATATCAGCCCCCGGGCTCACCGGTGGTTGTTGACCTGGAACCGCTGGCGTTTTTGGTTGCGGCGGCTGCTGGGCAATCGGCGTTTGAGCCGGCGCCACAGGAGCGGGGTTCGCCGGGGCTTGTGGTTCTGCTGTCGGCGGTGCTGCCGCCGGCGGAGTTGCGGCCACTTGTGCCGCCACGGGAGGAGCCGGAACGGCGGGTGCCGGTTGCGTTGGAGCAGGAGCCGCAGGAGCAGCTTGCTCCACTGGCGGTTCGAAAGCCGGCGCCTCCGCCCCTTCCAACACTGCAGGCGCATCGTTTGCTGCAATGTCCACGCCGCCTTCTTCGCGGTCGTCGAAGATCACGATCGCCAAGAAGCAGGCCACAATCAGCAGCAACACCACCACGGCTTCCGGATGAAACAACAGCCGCATCATCCAGTTCGCCTGGCTACCCACCGAAGAGGGCAGCGAACGTCCTTTGATTGGCAGCAACCTAGCACAAGTCTCCTGCACCCGTTGCATCCGCTGGCTCAGTTGCGAAGACTGTCCCGGGGCACCGGCATGTGCCGCTTCAACCCGGTACTTCTTCTCGCTGCTAACCCCGGTGATTTCGGTCACAATCTCCGGGAATACTTCAACCGCCTCCTCGATCAACTCATCGGTCGACGCCATGTTCAGCGTCGCAGCATCGGGCGGAATGCTTGCCGGCGGCGGAGCAACTCGCGCGGCCGACAGTCCGACGGCGGAGACATGCAGTTCATTGCGGGGAGGGGTGACGCCCAAGCGTTCCCATTTTTCGACTGCGTTATTCATGCGTCTGCCTGATTGCGTGAGACGTTCAACGGATGAGGCATTGGATCGCGAGACTCCCAATCGTGCAGGCACCGGCCATCAACCAGCGCGCACATTCGGGACCACTGGATGTATGGAGATATCGGTCCGGGTTTTAACGATCTTGAGCATTGCTCATGTCGTAACGACTCTGCTGGCACCACAGAATCGGGCCACCCAGAGAAGTCCTGCCCGCGGGCAATGGTTTTAAGTCGAACGATGCGAAGGGGTTGCGACCTTGATCCTTGCCCCGCTATGTGGCATACTCCGAACCAGGACGGCTCGCAGCGTATCAGTGCTATGCCACCGAAGGCTGCAGACGGCCGCCGTGGGTATTCCGGATTTGACCGAATGCCTAACATCAATAGGGGCGAGCCTTTGACGAGGCAAACTGGGGTTCAGCCCGTCGAGTGTTCCTCCGTGTTCTTTTTTCCTGTCCAAGCTGTGGAGTCGGTCCATGTCTCTTGCCGAGCGGGTTGACGTCGCTTCGCTAATCGATTCGATCCTGAAACAACGCATCATGGTCCTCGATGGCGGCATGGGCACCATGATTCAGGCCTGCAAGTTCACCGAAGACGACTTCCGCGGCGAACGCTTCGCAAGCCACCCCAAGCCCCTGATGGGCTGCAACGACCTGCTGGCAATCACCCAGGCCGAAGAGATCCAGCGTATCCATCGCGAATACCTCGAAGCCGGCGCCGACATTGTCGAGACGAACACTTTCAACTCGACCAACATCTCGATGGCCGACTACGACATGCAGCCGTATGTCCGCGATATCAACATCGCCGCGGCCCAGTGTGCCCGTCGTGCCGCCGATGAAGTAACGGCCCGCGAGCCCGAGCGTCCCCGTTTCGTCGCCGGGTCGATCGGCCCCACCAACCGCACAGCTTCGCTCTCGCCCGACGTGAACGACCCCGGTAAGCGGCTGGTCACCTATGACGAACTGGTCGACTCCTACTACGAACAAATCGCGGCCCTGGTCGAAGGTGGCGTCGATCTGATCTTCCCCGAGACCAGCTTCGACACCCTCAACATGAAGGCCTGCCTGTTCGCCATTGAGAAGTTCTTCGAAGACGAACAAATACGCCTGCCCGTGATGGTCTCGGCCACCATCACCGATCGAAGCGGCCGCACGCTTTCCGGCCAAACGCTCGAGGCCTTCTGGAACTCGATCTCGCACGCCAACCTGCTCAGCGTCGGGCTCAACTGCGCTTTGGGCCCCGAGTTGATGCGACCCTACGTCGAAGAGCTATCGCACATCGCTCCCGTGTACGTTAGCTGCCACCCCAACGCCGGGCTGCCCAACGAATTCGGCGGCTACGACGAAACCCCCGAGCAAATGGCCAAAACCCTCGGCGAGTTCGCCGAGAACGGCTGGCTGAATATCGTGGGCGGCTGCTGCGGCACCACGCCGGCCCACATCGGGGCCATCGCCAAAGCCGTGCAGGGCAAAAAGCCCCGCGCCATCCCCAAGCTCGAATCCTACTCTCGCTACAGCGGGCTGGAACCGCTCACGGTCCGTCCCGAGACCAACTTCGTGATGATCGGCGAGCGAACCAACGTGGCCGGCTCGAAGCGGTTCGCCCGACTGATTCGCGACGAACAATACGACGATGCCCTGGCCGTGGCCAAAGAACAAGTCGAGGGCGGCGCCAACATCATCGACGTGAACATGGACGAAGGCATGCTCGACAGCGAGCAGGCCATGACTAGGTTCTTGAATCTTATCGCCTCCGAGCCCGAGATCTGCCGCGTGCCGATCATGATCGACAGCTCGAAGTGGACGGTGCTCGAAGCCGGGCTCAAGTGCGTTCAAGGCAAAGCCATCGTCAACTCGATCAGCCTCAAGGAAGGCGAAGCAGACTTCCTCGAGAAGGCCAAGCTCGTGCATCGCTACGGAGCGGCCGTCGTCGTCATGGCGTTCGACGAGACCGGTCAAGCCGTAACTACCGAGCACAAAGTGAGCATCTGCCAGCGAGCCTACAAGCTGCTCACCGAACAAGTCGGCATGGACCCGACCGACATCATCTTCGACCCCAACATTCTCACCGTGGCCACCGGCATCGAAGAACACAACGACTACGCCGTGTCGTTCATCGAAGCCACCCAGCAGATCAAAGGAACCTGCCCGGGGGCGAAGGTCTCCGGCGGTGTGAGCAACGTCTCGTTCTCCTTCCGCGGTAACGAAGTGCTTCGCGAAGCCATTCACGCGGCGTTCCTCTACCACGCCATCAAGGCCGGCCTCGACATGGGCATCGTCAACGCTGGCCAGCTTGCCATTTACGAAGACATCCCGGCCGAGATGCTCGAACGCATCGAAGACGTGCTCTTCAACCGCCGCGAAGACGCCACCGAGCGGCTCGTCGAGTTCGCCGAAACCGTCAAAGGCGAAGGACGCCGCAAAGAGGTCGACCTTTCCTGGCGAGAAGCGCCCGTCGAGAAGCGACTTTCCCACGCCCTGGTTCACGGCATCGTCGACTTCATCGAAGCAGACACCGAAGAAGCCCGGCAAAAGTTCCCCACCTCGCTCGAAGTGATCGAAGGCCCACTGATGGACGGCATGTCGATCGTCGGCGACCTGTTCGGCGCCGGGAAAATGTTCCTTCCGCAGGTGGTCAAAAGCGCCCGGGTAATGAAGAAATCAGTCGCCTACCTGTTGCCGTTTATGGAGGCCGAAAAAGAAGCCTCCGGCGAAGCCGCCGCCGCGCGAGGAAAAATCCTGCTCGCTACGGTTAAAGGCGACGTGCACGACATCGGCAAGAACATCGTCGGCGTGGTGCTCGGCTGCAACAACTACGAAATCATCGATCTCGGCGTGATGGTGCCTTGCGAGAAAATTCTCGAAGAAGCCGTCAAACACGGGGTCGACATGATCGGCCTCTCGGGCCTCATCACCCCCAGCCTCGACGAAATGGTTCACGTGGCCGCGGAAATGAAACGCAGCGGCATGAACATTCCGCTGTTGATCGGCGGAGCCACCACCAGCGCCAAACATACGGCCGTGAAGATCGCCCCCGTGTACGATCACCCGACCGTGCACGTGCTCGATGCCTCCCGCAGTGTCGGCGTGGTCGATCAATTGATTCAACCGAAAACCCGCGATTCGTTCGTCGAAAACTACCGAGCCGAGCAGGCCAAGCTGGTCGAGGCCTTTAATCGCCGGCACCAGGTGAAGCTGGTTTCTTATAAAGAGGCCCAGGAGAAACGCTTCCCCACCGACTGGTCCACGGTTCGTATCGACACCCCCAGTTTCCTCGGGGTCCGCACGGTCCAACTCGATCCGCTCAACGAACTGCTCGACTACATCGACTGGTCGCCGTTCTTCATGGCCTGGGAACTCAAAGGCAAATACCCGGCCATTTTCGAAAACGAAACGTTCGGGAAAGAAGCTCGCAAGCTATACGACGACGCGGTCAAGTTACTCGACCGCATCGTCAGCGAGAAGCTGCTGCAGGCCAAGGGCGTCTACGGGTTCTGGCCCGCAACTTCAACCGGCGACGATATCATCCTCTACACAGACGACGACCGCACCACCGAACTCACGCGTCTGCACACGTTGCGGCAACAGTGGGAACGCAAAGGCACCACGCACTACAACGCCTTGGCCGACTACATCGCCCCCGTCGATAGCGGTCGCAAAGACTACATCGGCGCCTTCGCCGTAACCACGGGCATCGGTTGCAACGAACTCGTGCAAAAGTACGACGCCGACCACGACGATTACAATTCGATCATGGTCAAAGCACTGGCCGATCGTCTGGCCGAGGCCTTCGCCGAGCGGATCCACAAAACCGCCCGCGACGAATGGGGCTACGGTGCCGAAGAGTCGCTGACCAACGACGAACTCATCGCCGAGAAGTACCGCGGCATTCGTCCCGCCCCCGGCTATCCCGCTTGTCCCGACCACACCGAGAAACGCTTGGTGTTCGACTTGCTGAACGCCGAACAAGAAACCGGCATCAATCTAACCGAGTCGTTCGCGATGGATCCGGCCGCTTCGGTCAGCGGGCTCTACTTCGCCCACCCCGAAGCCCGCTACTTCGCCGTGCACCACGTTAGCCGCGACCAAGTGGAGAACTACGCCAAGCGGAAGGGAATGCCGCTGGCCGAGGTCGAGCGTTGGCTCTCCCCTGTGCTTAGTTACGACCCCAAAGACTAAAACTGCAGTGCAGTTCCCTGGTTTTTCATCGGCTTCGCTGCCAAAATGCTTGCTAGCAGGCGCAGTGGTACGTCTTGTCTCCAGTTAAGATGCGAATAGGATCAGAAATAGCCCCCTCATTTGGTCCAGATTTCCTTTGTATCTACTGGCGGAAATTCGTATACTCAACTCTCCGTTAGCCTGCTAATCATTAGCTGGCCGACGGACTTCGGCGGTTCTGCTCTCCAAACGGGGGGCTAAAACCCGAAGACAATGAACATCGCACGGCCTGATATGTGGACATGCCAGGGGTCGTTTTGACACTAGCTCCGGAGAAGTCTCGATGCGTCGATCCATAGGAATCTCCTTGGCGGTATTGCTAGGAATGGTCGGCACCCTCAGGGCTGCCGAGAAAATTGAGCCCGCAACACCTTGGGAAGAACAGCGTGGCTATCAACTTTTAATCACCCGGCAGTTCACCCAGCCCGACATGGATCCAGAGTTGTTCGAGAACCTCTGGCAATCGTGGGAAGAACCCCTGCGGACCGAGGCCGAAAAGGCCACGCCTGAAGAACGTCGCAAAATGACGCTCACCCGCTACGGCCTCACCGAAGCCCCGGGCCGTGAGGGCGGCGCACCTTTACAGTATGCCACCGATGGCACCAACGGCTGGTCGACCAACTGCTTCTCCTGCCACGGCGGTAAGGTAGGCGGAGAAGTCATTCCCGGTCTGCCCAACACCCACATCGCGCTGGAAACGCTGGCTTACGACACCCTCAAGACCAAGAAAATCATCGGTCGTGAAGTTTCGGCCTTCGAGTCGGCCGGCCTTTCGTTCATCCCCTTGGGTAAATCCAACGGAACGACCAACGCCATCATCTTTGGCGTGGTGTTGGCCGCCTATCGCGACAAAGATCTCAATGTCGACGTCAACAAACCACTGCCTAAGCTCGTGCACAACGATCACGACGCCCCGCCGTGGTGGAACGTAAGCCTGAAGAACTTCCTCTACTCCGATGGTTTCGCCGGCAAAGGCCACCGCGCTTTCATGCAATTCATGATGACGCCTTCCAACGGCCCTGAAGCGTTCCACGAAGCCGAAGCCGACTTCAAAGAAATCTACGAGTGGGTACTCAATCTCGAAGTTCCCAAGTATCCCCACGAAATCGACGAAGCCCTCGCCAAGAAGGGCGAGATCGCCTTCAACAACAACTGCGCCGATTGCCACGGCACCTATGGCGAGAACCAGGAATGGCCCGAGGTGATCGTGCCGCTGGAAGACGTGGCCACCGATCGTGCCCGCCTCGATTCGCTCACCCCGGAAATGCGGGCCAGCTACGAGATGGGTTGGTTCTCGAATTACGGCGAAAAGAAGTCGATCATCGATCCCGGTGGATATGTTGCCCAACCCCTCAACGGTATTTGGGCCACCGCCCCGTACCTGCACAACGGATCGGTCCCCACGCTGTGGCATATGCTTCACCCTGAAGAACGCCCTGTCGTGTGGAAGCGAACCGAAGACGGCTACGACTCAGATCGGGTTGGCCTCGAAGTGACCGAGTACGAGAAGATGCCCGAGAGCGTCAACAGCGGAGTCGAACGTCGCCAATACTACAACACCCGCGTCTTCGCCAAGAGTCCTGAAGGGCACTTGTATCCCAACCAGTTGACCGAAGACGAAAAGGTCGCCGTGCTCGAGTATCTCAAGACACTCTGACAATCGCCTTCAACACCCTCCGCCAGAATACGGCGGAACCACAGATCGCTGCTCCAACACCTCCGTGGCAATCCACCACGGAGGTGTTTTTTTGCGCGAAGATCTAGCCATGACGTGGCAGTCGGCTCTTCGCACGCAGTTGCTGCACGGTTTGACAAGAGTGCTGTCCCCGTTACGATTTAGGCGCAGGCGTTTCGCTCGGTGGCGTTACGCATTCTCGTAATCAGCCTGGTTTCTAGTTCTTGACCGCGGCCGACCGAATTCATTGCGGCCAACCACCCGCCGTCGGTCCACGGAAGGTATGCAGACCATGACTCAGCTCGAAGCGGCACGCGCCGGCCAGATCACGCCCCAAATGGAATATGTCGCCGCTCGCGAAAACCTCGCGGTGGAGACCATTCGCGACGAAGTTGCCGCGGGCCGGATGGTCATTCCTGCCAACGTCCACCACCTCGAGAAGCGGCTCGAGCCGATGTGCATCGGGGTCGCCTCGCTCACCAAAATCAACGCCAACATCGGCAACTCGGCCGTCACCAGCAACTTGGAAGAAGAGCTGGAAAAGCTGCACGCCGCCGTGCACTTCGGGGCCGACACGGTGATGGACCTTTCCACCGGCAAGAACATCAACGCCATCCGCCAGGCCATCATCGATAACTCGCCCGTGCCCATCGGCACCGTGCCCATCTACCAGATGGTGCAAGAGATCGACGACATCGTCGACATGAAGCCGCAACAATTCCTCGACATGGTCGAGCACCAGGCGAAGCAGGGCGTCGATTACATGACGATCCACTGCGGCGTTCTCCGCGAACACCTCGGGCTGACCACCAAGCGCGTCACCGGCATCGTCAGCCGCGGCGGTTCGCTCATGGCCAAGTGGATGATGGCCCACAACGAGCAGAACCCGCTGTACACGCACTTCGACGACCTGTGCGACATCATGCGTCCCCACGATGTGACCTGGAGCCTCGGTGATGGTCTCCGTCCCGGCTGCCTGGCCGACGCCAGCGATGCTGCCCAATTCGCCGAACTGGAAACCCTCGGCGAGCTGACCCAAAAGGCCTGGGACCGCGGTTGCCAAGTGATGGTTGAAGGACCGGGTCACGTGCCGATGGATCAGATCGACATGAACGTCAAGAAGCAGATCGAAGTCTGCAAGGGCGCTCCGTTCTACGTGCTCGGTCCGTTGGTCACCGATATCGCCCCCGGGTATGACCACATCACCAGTGCCATCGGTGCGGCTTTAGCCGGATGGAGCGGAGCCGCCATGCTCTGCTACGTCACGCCGAAGGAACACCTGGGTCTGCCCGATCGGGACGACGTTCGCCAAGGTGTCATCGCTTACAAGATCGCCGCGCACGCCGCCGACGTGGCCCGTCACCGCGTTGGTGCCCGCGATCGCGACGATGCCCTTAGTAAGGCTCGCTTCGAGTTCGACTGGAACGAGCAGTTCCGTCTCTCGCTCGACCCCGAGACGGCCCAACGCATGCACGACGAAACCCTGCCGCAAGACACCTTCAAAAGCGCGCATTTCTGCAGCATGTGTGGCCCCAAATTCTGTTCGATGAAGATCACCGAAGATATTCGTCGCATGGAGCAGGAGAATCAGGTCGTGCAACTCGGCGGCGAGCAAAAGTCGTAGTTTCGCACGAATCGTTCGTGGCCAAAACTTCGTCTTGTTTCGCTGCGCTACCTTCTTGATAATGCTGCCGGACAGGAATCTCCCGCCCGCACATTATCTACGAAGGCCCCACGAGCTTGAGCGAATCATCGTCCCAACCCACGGGCCCCGAATCCGCCCCCAATGACCAGGGCGGCGGTACCCGGCGCGAGATTTTCGCCTGGGCGATGTACGATTGGGCCAACAGCGCCTATTCGACGATCCTCATCACCATCATCGTCGGGTACTTCAAATACGTCGTGCTCCCCGGCAAGGCCGGCACCATCGCCTACGGCTATGGTATCGGTATCTCGATGCTTTTCGCCGCACTGCTTTCCCCCATCGTCGGCGCCATCGCCGACGCCAGGGCCACCAAGCATCGCTGGCTCACCGTGCTCGCACTCGGTGGTTCGGCATTTGCCGTGCTGATGGGTCTGCTGCCCCCCAGCCAGCCTGTCGCCATCGTGGCGGCCTTCTTCATCATGAGTTTGTTTTTCGAACTCTCCCTCGGAATCTACAACGGCTTCCTGCCCGAGATCTCCACAGAAGAAACCGTCAACCGCATCTCCTCCTGGGGCTTCGCCCTCGGCTACATCGGTGGGGCCATCCCCCTCATCCTCGCCTTGCTCATCGTGATGAAGGGCGGCATGTTCGGTCTCCCCGATGCCGACAGCCGGCACGGCGACTACAACGACACCGCCGACGGCACCTTCGCCGTCGAACTCCCCGACGGCAACTACGAGGTCGAAGTCACCCTCGGCGACGCCGCAGAAATGCGTGGGCCTGTGGCCGTCTCACTGCAAGGCCGCCAGGTCGACACTGTCGAAACCGTCGCCCATGAATTCAAAACCCACACCTATCCGGTCGATGTTTCAAATGGCAAGCTAACCCTCGGCCTCAAAGCCCTTGGCGACGAGCGAGGCCGGGCCGCCATCAACTCACTGTCCATCCTTCCAACCGGCAGTAAGAAACCCGTGGCCGCCTTCGATTTCGGCACTGCGGGCTCTTCCGGCACCGAAGGCTACGCCTGGGTCACGGCCGACGACAAGTTCGGCCCGCACGACTACGCCAAACGCGTTTCCAGCACAGCCGTCGACGCTCGCAAAGAGCCCCCGCCGTCCGACCTCCCCGTGTCGCTCACCTACGGTTGGGCCTCAGGCAAAATCATCAGCTACGACTCCATCGTGCCCATCCGTCTGCAAATCAGCATCATCATGATGGGCCTGTGGTGGGGAATCTTCAGCTTGCCCACGGTTCTCATCCTCCGCGATCACGGCCACGCCGCGCAAGTGCTCGATGAAAAGACCCCCGGCTCGGTCCGCTCGATGACTTGGGCCGAAACCGCCAAGTTGGGCGTGTCGAAAGTCGCCTCGACCCTCAGCAAGGTGCGGCACTTCCGCACGCTGTCAATCTTCCTGGTCGCCTTTCTGGTCTACAACGACGGCATTCAAACCGTTATCAGTCAGGCCTCGCAGTTCGCCATCGACATGCTCAACATGAGCACGCAGGAACTCACCGGCGTGGTGCTCATGATCCAGTTCCTCGCCATACCCGGAGCACTGCTCATCGGGCTGCTCTCCGACCGCTGGGGGCAGCATCTAACCCTCAAGATGTGCCTGGCCATCTGGGTCGTGCTGTTGTGTTGTGCCTACTTCATTAATGCCAAGTGGCAGTTTTGGGCCATGGGCGTGGTGCTGGCCATGGTGATGGGCGGCACCCAATCGGTCAGCCGCGCGGTGATGGCCTCGATGACCCCCAAGGCCCATACGGCCGAGTTCTTCGGCTTCTACAACTTCTCTGGCAAGGCCACCAGCTTCCTCGGCCCCATCGTCTACAGCTCGATCCAAGCCCAAACCGGCAGCCCCCGCCTGGCCATCATCAGCCTGCTGGCTTTCGTCCTGGTCGGCGGAGCCCTGGTCTACAAGCTCGACTTCAAACAAGGCCAACGCGAAGCCCAAGCCGCCGTAGAGAAATAACGCGCCCGGTTTCGCACGCACGACCTCGCCCTGGCCCACTTTCCCACCTCGCATTAAACTAAACCCATCGCACCGGCCGCCGCGTTTCGCCTGTGCGACGCTAAAAGAACCGGAGGAAAAAGCCAGATGTTGGGTGCCACGTTAAACGTCGCCGAGTACGTCAAACGAATCCAGGACGAAGTCGCTCAGGTCGATCAGGCCGAAATCCAGAAGATGGCCGACTTGATCTACGAAGCCTGGGAGAACGGCCGCTTCGTCTACATCTTCGGCAACGGCGGCTCCGGCACCACGGCCACCCACATGAGCGAAGACCTCGGCAAAAGCTCGCTCCGCGAGTCGGACCTCAGCGACGAATCGAAGAAGCGGCTCAAGGTGATGAGCCTCACCGACAACCTCGGCTGGATCATGGCCGTGGGCAACGACCTCAGTTACGACCAGATCTTCGTTCAACAACTGATGAACTACGGCAGCGAAGGCGACGTGGTCATCGCCATCAGCGGCTCGGGCAATAGCCCCAATGTGCTCAATGCCGTGGATTGGGCCAACCGCCACGGGCTGAAGACCTTCGGCCTCACCGGGTTCAAGGGCGGCAAGCTTCGCGAGATGGCCCAGTCGGGCATGCACGTACCGCTCGACGATATGGGCATGGTCGAGAGCATCCACCTCGCCCTGTTCCACTGGGTGCTCAACGACGTGTTCGCCCGCATCAACCACGAAGGCCGCTACGCGGAAGCCTCCACGGCGGCGAACTAACCGCTGGAAGTTTCTCCGCAAAGTTTGCCGGCGAATTCATCAGCCACTGCGAGTTGCGATGTACCTGGGCATCGAAATCGGAGGGACGAAACTACAAGTGGCCGTCGGCTCTGGCACCCGGGCCGAGCTGCTCGCGCTACGTCGCACCGACGTCGACCCCTCCCAAGGCGCCGCCGGTATTCGCCAGCAAGTCGAACAACTCTCCCGCGAACTGATCGACCAGTTCGCACCCACCGCCGCCGGGATTGGTTTCGGCGGGCCTGTCGATGCGTCCCGAGGGCGTACAATCAAAAGTCATCACGTCGAAGGTTGGGACAACTACGACCTCGCCGCCTGGTCACAAAACACATTCGGCCTGCCGGCGGTCATTGGCAACGACGCCGACGTCGCTGGCCTGGCAGAAGCCCACTTCGGGGCAGGGCGGAGGGCCAACCCCGTGCTCTACATCACTATTGGCACCGGCATCGGAGGCGGGCTCATCGTCGACGGCCGCATCTTCCAAGGTCACGGGCAAGCCGCCGCCGAAGTCGGCCATATGCGGCCCGGCATCGAAGCCGACAATCCCCACGACATCATCGAAGCCCACTCCAGCGGTTGGGGCATCGCGGCCACCGCCCGACGACTGATCGAAGCAACTGGCGACGCGAATGCAAAAGAACTACACGACCGCTGCGGCGGCGATCTCTCAAAACTCACCACCAAGCTTGTCGGCGAAGCGGCCGCCGCGGGCAATCAACTCGCCCGGCAAGTGCTCGACCAGGCCTGGCAACACTTGGGTTGGGCACTGGCGCAGGTAATCACGCTCGTGTCGCCACAGAGAATCGTCATCGGTGGAGGCGTTTCGCTGCTGGGGCATGAATTGCTTTTCGAGCCCCTCACCGAGCAGGTCGCGCGTTACGTATTTCCACCGCTGACCGGCAGCTACGACATCCGCCCCGCCCAACTCGGCGAAGAGATGGTCCTCTACGGCGCACTCGCCCTGGCCGCCTCGCGCGAAGAAAAGCACTGAGCTGTGCATTCAGCATCAGTAAGAACAACTCGGTGGGTGCCACGGTTGGCTTGCCCAACCGTGCGAATTTCCAGAAGGGCACCGCTACAAAAGTTAGCAGCGTCCCACGTCTTAGTTGAACCAGGTTTTTGAAATGGCGACTACTCGACGTCGCGAGTCCGATCGGTAATTCGTGTGGTTTGAAAACCGATCTTCGTCCGACCGTCATACTCTTCGATATGCCGCACGGTGCCCAGCAGAAAGCTGCCGGCGTAAGCAATTTCAACCTGCAGCCCGAGCTTAAACTCTCGGGCGTCGTCGACAATCAAGGCGATCCCATGCAGCGACTCATCGTAAACCTGGGCCATCATCTCGACCCCGGGCGGATACCAAATAGCCGCCGAATTCTCTTCCTCTTCCTTGCGAAAGCGAGTCGCCTGGCGACGTTCATCCACGGCCGAAAGTTTACGATTCTCTTCTTCCATCACGACAACACCACCTGTTCGGTAACGACTTGCAGATACACTAGCGCACCCAAAGCATAGGTTGTGACACATTGGAAGAAAGAATGTTGGGTCCAATCCGCGAGGCGTTTCAACCCTTTTTCGTCGATTGAATCGATTCTGAGGCCAACGCGATATTGCTCCGGCGTTTTCACCCCGAATGGCGGATAAGCAACTCACCCCGATGCAAACTCAGCAGGTCGCCACTGAACGAAACAAATCGGGCGTCATCCAAACCCGCAGGCAACGGGAATCCCAGCGCTTTCAACCGCCGCCACAACAACCGCAACACCACCGGCTGCACGAACCCATCGCGGCGAAACGTTGGCAGTGCTTTAGTCGGGGCGATTAAACCGATAATCGTCCCACGCCCCATGCCAAACCCGGCAGCATTGAGTTCACCTTCGCAGACCAACAACGTTCCGGCCAGCATCTTGTAAGCCGGGCACTCACCCACAAGACCCCGCACGGCAATCAAGCCACTCCGTTGCCGCGACCCGGTATACCCGCCCGCATTGCCATGCACGAGCAACTCCCCGCCCGTCATCCCACGGAGTTCCCCAGGCCGCGGCCCGCCGGCCATTTCTCCCACGTCCCCTTCGACCACAAGCACGCCACCCGCCATGCCCGCCCCCGCCAGATTGCCTGCGGAACCTAGCACGCGAGCGCAGCCACCCGTCATCCCCCGGCCCACGCCTTCCCCCGCAGGTCCATCGATGTCGAGTGTGCCCGAAGCCATCCCCTCGCCCAGCCCGATGAATCGTTCCGAGCCTGGAACGTAAAGTGCCGAGTCTTCTTCACCCGGCAGTGACTCGACATCAAACAACTCCCCCAAGTCATACCGTCGACGACCACAGCGAATCGACTCCTTCGCCATTTCATCAATCGACAACCCACACAGCCGATCGGGCCGCAGTCCACTCCCGTCAATCAACCCCGGCGGTTGTTTCTTCCAGTGCAATCGGTACGCGGTCACGGCAAGATCTCGTGCAGGTGAAAGTGATACTTGCCAAGCTTGCCGCCGTAATTGGGGGCACCGATCGACACGATGCCTTCCCCCGCGGCAGCCCGCGCTGCGGTGGCCATCGCTGCGGCCACGGTCGCTTCATCCACACCGTCGATCACCAGTTCATACGCATGACTGGTCTCGGGATGCAGTTCGCTTTCCACGCGCCCTCGCAATGTCGGGCAGAAGGCATCATTCGTCGACGCCCGCAGTCCTTCATATCGCGAACCGACCTTGCTGCCGCTGCGGACCACGCCACCAGGAAATGGAAGGATCACCCCCGGCATTTCCGCCAGCGAATCAACCGCTGCCCGTGCCGCCCGCAAGCCGGCCTCGAGACTGGTGGCTTCGATCAACAGGCAACCGCCGGCCACCCCTTTCTCAACGCCCGCCGACTCTTCGACCAGAAACTCGCCATCCAACACCGGCAGCCGCCAATACCGTCGGCCGGCGATCACCTTGCTCCGCTGATAACCATCGCCGAAGTACCGCAGGTAGCTGCCCAGGGCGATCCGCTTTTCACTCGCCGCCAGCCCGTCGAACACAGCCGTCGTCGGGCACGTCAATAAACACTGCCCGGCCCTTCGCGGTACCGCTTTGGCCAGGGCATCGGTCGAGAAGCCAAACACCAGAACACTCACCCCGGGCCGCCCGTCGGGCGTTTCGTCTGCAGACAACCGCCGCTCGCGGGCCGCTTCCGCATCGCAAGCAATGATCGAGGTGCCAAAGCCCGTGAATTCGGCCACCGCCGTATCGCACCAGTATTCATCCAGCGCCGTCACGATCAGCCGCGTATAGCGCATCTCGAACGCCTCGGCGAAATGATCGGCGATTTCAGTGGGGCCAATTTTCATGGTGTGACTAAAGACTTTGCTTGCAGTTTGCTAGTGTGTCTTATTGTGGGTGCCACTGCTGGCTTGCCCAGCAGTGCTTTCCCGGGTTCACACTGCTGGGCAAGCCAGCAGTGGCACCCACGCCGAGGATCTATTCTTTTCCCTGAGTAATCTTTTCCAGCGAAGACCTCAGTCCTTGCCCCACAGCCATCTGGCGAGGATCGAACGTGCCGTGGCGTTCGTTCCATTGGCGAACATAGCGTTCAGCATCGTCATCGTGCGATGGCTCGACCACTAACGTTCGCCCGGCCTGGCTGCGGCAAAGCTCACCGTCTTCGACGAGGATCTCTCCACCTTTGATCACCATCTGCGGCCAGCGGAACATCGCCTCACGGTCGGCCGTATCGTTGTAGATCGTCACGTCGGCATCCGCCCCCGGGCCCAGGTGTCCCTTGTTCGTAAGCCCTAGAATCCGCGCCGGTGCCGCCCGCGTGATGATCGCGATTTCGTTGAGCGTAAACTCGCGATCCATCTCTTTCAGCCGGCAGCGGTTCATTGCCTTGGGGTTCGCCCGCTCGATGGCCGCCTCGCGCAGGCCGCGGTCCATCAACTGAGCGATGAGCGTGGGATAAGCCAGAAACGATCCACCGTTGGGATGATCGGTCGACAGCGGCAATCGCCAAGGGTCGTTGCACAGCAAGAACAGTTCCAGCCCGATGGCCCATTGCATGGTGTGCATCCGCGAATCGTTGCGGTACTCCACCGGGATGATGCCGCAGCCGGTCTCCAGATCGACCTCCACATTCACATACGGCTTGCCGGTCAACTTCCACAGGAAGTACTCCACCTCGGCGTCGGCCGTCAGCGTGAGTGCATCGCCAAACATCACCTGTCCCACGTCGGCCGTCACTTCGGGGTTGGCGTGCAAGTGCTCGATGAACCGCTCGGCCCCGCTGGTGAAGTCACCTGAATCGTCTTCCCCGTAGCTATGAAACTGCACATGAGCCAAATGATGCCGGTGCCCGCTGAGCGCCCGGGAGGTTTCCAGCGTCACATCGATGTTGCCCGGCACGCCAAGCTGGTTCACATGCAAGTGCAACGGGTGAGGTAACTGCAGCGTATCGGCGGTGTGCGCCAGAAACTCCACCACCCGCCGTGGCGAAATCTTCCGGCCGGGCAGGGGGGCGGAAAAGCTGGTCAGCGCCTCGGCCGTCGACAGCCAGTGTGAGACCCCGCCGGGGTTCACGCCTTTGATCCCGAACGAACCGGTCTGATGCAGCAGCCAAGCCACAACCCCGCGAGCGAGTTCGTCTTCATCCCCTTCTAACAAGTCGAACAGCAACTCATGATTCGCCAGCAGCAGCAAAAAACCGCGATCGAGAATCGGCGTGTCGGCAAACTCCAGGTGACACTGCCGTGCCCCGCTGGGAGCGATGGCCGCTTCGATCGCCGTGGTGTAGCCGAGCAAACCGTAACGCTGCCCTGTCGATTCCGTGGTTGGCACAATGGGCCACTCGGCATTGGATTGACTGCGTAGCGAACTGTCACTGGCAATCAGCCGGCGGGCGCGATTCACCGAAGGGCCGGCGATATGACAGTGCATATCGACCCCACCCGGCATCACCACCCGACCTGTGGCGTCGATCTTGCGGTCCGCCTTAAATCCTTCCGCAGGTTCTTCGATGACCCGTCCGTCTTTGATGCATACGGTCTTCACGACCCCATCAACACCGTTGGCCGGGTCGTAAACCTTGCCGCCCTGGATGGCCAACTTCATCGCCGACCCTCCGCAGTTGATGCAACTCGTTCTCGTAGCGAACGCAAGATCGCCACCGCCGGATCTTCCACACCTTGTGCTGAATCCCCACACAACGTCAGCACAATCCCGTCGCTGCGCATCACACTGGCATTCAATCGAGGGTCGAGCCCCGGAACCGTAAACGAGACGTCGGCCGTGCTGTCGTGCTCCCGGCCGAGCGTAATCCGTGGGACTTTCTGCCCACCGCTCGCAGGTTCACTCGTCTCGCCGTCCCCTTCCGCCCCAATACTCAGGCAAAGATCAAACACATCGGCCGCCAAGTCGGCACCGGCGGAGAGCATCCGCGGACCTTCGGCACCTTCACCGTCACAACAGCCGGGCCACAAAGGTGCCGGTGCGCCAAGCAACCAAGTCGATACTTCTTGTGCCCCCCAGGTGTTGCCCACCGCGGGAAGGCTCGAAATGGAAACATGGTGTTCCGCCCGCACTCGGGCCGCCATTCCATGTAGCGCGTCGCACAGTGCCTGCGACTCGGCGGCGTTGATACCCAGGAACACATGCGTGTGCGTGGCCCGACCAATCAATTCGGCCAGCTGCTTCGCCGAATCAACCGTTGTTTCGAAGGTACTATCTTTCAGATGATTCAACCGCTTGGATCGCAACAACATTTCGAGGACAGCAACCAACTCGAGGTCAGACCCACTGGACTCAAGCCCAACACAATGCGTCGCCTGCCCGGCAGTCTCATGTTCAGAGTCCGCGGTGAGTTCATCGACCACCACCAGCGTGCGCTCGTTCTCATTAAGCAGGGGAGGGGAGTACGAATAGCGCTCCAGGTGTCGCGGGTGGGTTCGCAGTGGATCGGCTCGCCAGAAGATCACCACGTCGGCCGTGGTTCGCACCTTGCCGAGTGTGGCGGTGAACTCGGGAGCATCGAGCCCCGCACGAAGGTAGGAAGTCGTAGGGCAGGGTCGAGGTAACAATACCGCCCCAACCTCCCGCGATAACAACACCGCCTCACGCGCGGCTTCCAAACTCAGGCCGGCCAGCCCCTGCAACACAGGTGCATTGGAAGCGGTGATGAACTTGACCGCCTTCTCAATCGCGGCATCCAGCTCTACAACTTTCCCGGCCACCCTGGCAGTGGCTTCAAGCGGTCTGACTTGTTGCAGCCAGGTTTCACCCAGTGAACAGGCCCGATCGATCGCTGTGAGGGTTTCACCCTCATACTTCAAGTGAATGTCGTCGCAGAAGCACCCGCACCCGCTGCAAACCGCGCGTTCAAGCACGCGAGTTTCAGCCGCAGGGCTAGCAGGCGAGCGGTCGTTCATGGCCGGGAGGGATAGTTGGCGGGAGGCGGGTTACTTCGAATCGCTTCAAGGCGGCAGTCTCCATTCTGAGAGCCCATACCGCTTCGCACAACCCACATCGGCCGTGCACGGATTCCCGCGAAAAAGCAGCTTGAACTGATTTTCTCCAGACAATTTCAAGTTGCATCTCCGGCGGTATACAATGTGGACCCAAACACCGCATTGCCGGATCGCCCTCGCTGGCGGGCGTTCTTAACCAGTTCATCACATGAAGGGATCACGAACGTTGACCCACTACCAATCGCGTTGCTGTCTGATTGCTGTTTCCCTCGTGGCCGTGTTGGCGGCCTCGATCGTTTCATATCCAGCACAAGCCGAGGAGTCGGGCATGAAGGGTAAGCTCCGTGTTTACATTGGCAGCTACACCCGAGGGCAAAGCGAAGGCATCTATGTCAGCGAACTCGACCTTGAGTCGGGGCAACTCTCCGCACCCCGCCTGGCCGCCGAAGCGGTCAACCCTTCGTTCGTGGCCATCCATCCCGATGGTGCCCATCTGTATGCGGTCGGTGAGATCGACGACTTCGAAGGGAAGAAGACCGGCGGTGTAAGCGCGTTTGAAATCGTTGACGACGGAACACTCAAACTCATCAATCAGCAATCGTCCGGCGGTGGCGGTCCATGTCACCTCATCGTTGACAACTCGGGCCAATGCGTGTTGGTGGCCAACTACGGTGGGGGCAGTGTGGCCTGCCTACCGATCACGAAAGACGGCAGCTTGAAAGAGGCCTCCACTTTCATTCAGCATGAAGGTTCCAGCGTGAACCCCCAGCGGCAAGCCGGCCCGCATGCTCACTCGATTAATGTCGACGCCGCCAATCGTATCGCGGTGGCCGCCGACTTGGGGCTCGACAAGGTGATGATCTACCGCCTCGACCCCGAGGCCGGCAAGCTGGTGCCCAACGATCCGCCTTCGGTTTCCGTTCCGCCCGGCGGCGGGCCGCGCCACTTCGTGTTTCACCCCAATGGCAAGTTCGCCTACACCAACAACGAGATGACCTCCACCGTTACGGCGATGGAGTACGACGCCGACAATGGGGAACTCTCCCCGATCCAAACCACCTCGACCCTGCCGGCCAGCTACAAGGAAGAAGGCAACAGCACGGCCGAGGTCCGCGTGCACCCCAACGGGCGTTTCCTTTACGTTTCAAACCGGGGCCACAACAGCATCGCCATCTTCGCCATCGACCCCTCCACGGGCAAACTCTCCCCCGTGGGACATGAGTCGACGCGGGGCGCAATCCCTCGCAACTTCAATCTCGATCCCAGCGGGCGTTACCTTTTGGCCGCCAATCAGAACACCGATAACGTGGTCGTGTTCCGCGTCGACGCCAACACCGGCAAGCTCGAAGCGACCGGCTCCGAGATCGAAGTCGGCAACCCGGTCTGCATTCGCTTCCTGGAGATCGACGAGTAAACGCGACCACGAAAGCAGTTTCATAACCCTACGTGGGTGCCACTGCTGGCTTGTCCAGCAGTGACGCGTTTTCGAACAACCCAGCTAGGCGAACAAGCCGAAGCGTTCTCGTACGAGTTGAGCCAGGTTTTGAAACTGCTGGTAAACACTTAGTCGCCGCTAGTGTCTTTGGCCGAATCTTCTCGCCACAGCCAACGTAGCGAGTCGGGCAGAATCGCGCCGCCGTGGATGCCGTTGTGCCCGCCCTCGCCGCCGACGAATTTGTAGTCGTACCCGGCGAACTTCAGGGCCGCGTCCATCTGCAGGTTCGAGAGCCACCAGTTGCCGTGGGCGTTGTCCAGGTCGTTCGACCCGTCTTGCAGGAACACGCGAATCGGTTTCGGCTCGGTCTTACGAATCAACGCCGGGTACACATTCCCGCCGCGGATGTTCGTGAAGCTGCCCACGTGGCTCAGCACTTTGCGAAACTCTTCCGGCTTCTCCCACGCCACGGTGAAGGCACAAATGCCCCCTGAGGAAATCCCGCAGATCGCCCGATGGTTGGGGTCGTCTGAAAGCCGGTAGGTCTTGCCAACCTCCGGGAGAATTTCTTCCAGCAAGAATCGGGCGTACTGGTTCGACATCGTGTCGTATTCGAAGCTGCGGTTGTTCGCCTTCCAGCCCGGCTGGGGCTTCACGTCGTCTTCGCTACGATGCCCCGGGTTGATGAAGATGCCGATAATCGGCGGCAGCTCTCCGCGGTAAATCAAATTGTCGAGCACCACCGGCACGCGGAACTGGCCCTCTTCGTTTACATAAGCGTGGCCGTCCTGAAACACCATCACCCGCGCAGGCTCGTTCTCGTCGTATTGAGCCGGACAATAAACCCAATAGTCGCGCACCGTGTCTTCAAAGATATCGCTCTTCCACTGGTGTTTGGTCACCTTGCCCTGCGGCACTCCCTCCTGCCGCTGCGAATCGGGCCCTAGCTCATACGGTTCATCGGCAGCAAAACCCACGGCGGCCCAAACCACGCACAATCCTAAAGCCCAAACAGCAAAGCGGTGTTTCATCGAGTAAGTCCTCAATTGGTTGATAGATTGTGTTGGTGGGGAGGTCGTAAAACCCCGTTGGGGTTTCAGGTGATCGTCTTTGGTGTCCCCAGGGTGCGCTCCGCGACCCTGGGTTATGTTGTGACACGCCGTTGGCGTGATTGGAGCCCAATTATGTACGGACGGATTCGACGTTGATCGCTGGATAAACGTACTCGAATCATTCGCTTCGCAATACGCCGCACCCCGGCGGATATGCCGAAGGCATGATACATCAAAGCCCAGGGTCGCGCAGCGCACCCTGGGAACCGATACACGCGCCCGCACGTAAACCCCAACGGGGTTTCATAATCTTTGGTCGCACCGTCTTTCCAACTCTGTCTCCCAAACCGGCCATCATAATCGCCCCCGATCCACGAAGCGAATCGCCCCACGTCGCTGCCCCGGCTTTCCCGATCGGCTATACTGTTGGGCTACCTTGGAAGCGAAAAAAACCTCCATGCAGGAGTCACCACATGTTGCGGTACATGGCCCTGTGCCTTCTCATTCTCAGCTCATGGTCTGCCGTTGCGAATGCCGACGATTCTCTACCCAAGCTGGAGAAAATCGAAGGGGCCAAGCCGCTGAATGTGGTGTTCATCCTTTCGGACGACCATCGTTACGACGTGATGGGGTTTGCCGGCCATCCCTGGGTGGAAACCCCAGCGATGGACGCCATGGCTCGCGAGGGCGTGTATTTCCAGAACGCGATCGTGACCACTTCGCTCTGCTCGCCCAGTCGGGCATCGATGCTGACCGGCCAGTACATGCATCATCACGGGGTGGTCGATAACAACGTGCTCACCCCGCCGGGCACCATCTTCTTCCCGCAATACTTGCAAGCCGCCGGATACGCCACCGGCTTCTTCGGCAAATGGCACATGGGCGGGCACAGCGATGCTCCCCGGCCCGGCTTCGACGAATGGGTTAGCTTCCGAGGGCAGGGGCATTACTATCCGCCCGAGCATCTGCGGAACTGGACGCTCAACGTCAACGGCAAGTCGGTCGAGCAGCAGGGCTACATCACCGACGAACTGACCGATTACGCCATCGACTGGCTCGACCGCGTGAAGGCCGACGAGAAACCGTTCTTCATGTACCTTTCGCACAAGGGCGTACACGGCATGTTCCACCCGGCCGAGCGACACGCAGGCCGCTACAAAGATAAGCCGATGCCGGTGCCGGAGACGATGGCCAACACCGAGGAGAATTACAAGCACAAGCCGATGTGGTTGAAGAACCAGCGCAATAGCTGGCACGGGGTCGACTTCGCTTACCATCAAGACACCGACATTGAAGAACACTACCGCCTGTACTGCGAGGCACTGCTCAGCGTCGACGATTCAATCGCCCGGGTACGGAAGTGGCTCGCCGACAATGGCCTGGCCGAAAACACGATGGTCCTGTACATGGGCGACAACGGTTTTCAATGGGGCGAACATGGCCTGATCGACAAGCGGACCGCGTACGAGGCCTCGATTCGCGTACCGCTGGTCGGTGTTTGTCCCGGACACTGGAGCCCCGGCACCACCGTGGAAGAAGTGGTGGCCAACATCGATATCGGGCCCACCTGCCTCGCAGCCGCCGGGCTGAAAACGCCCACATCGATGGACGGCGAGAGTTTCTTCAAGCTGGCCGCCGGCGAGATGGACCCGGCCGACTGGCGCGATCAAATCTTGTACGAGTACTACTGGGAATACAATTTCCCGCAAACGCCAACCACGTTCGCCCTGCGAACACCCCGCTACAAGTTCATCCAGTACCACGGCATCTGGGACCTCGACGAACTATACGACCTGGAGAACGATCCGCTGGAGCAGCACAACCTCATCTTCAGCAAAGATCACCAAAAGCAAATCCGCGAGATGCGTTCGGCCCTGCACGAAATTCTTGCCAGCGACTACGGCGCCCGCGTGCCGTTCAGCCAGAAGAATTCGATGGGTCAGAACCTCAGACTCCGCAGCGGAGCCGACCCGGCGACATTCCCGGAGGAGTTTAAGCGGGAGAAGAATGCCGCGAAGTAGCAGAGCCAGATTGCGTCACGTGGGTGCCACTGTTGGCTTGTCCAACAGTGCGAAGTCTAAGGGAGACTCCGTATTCAGATTTCCGGACTGATCCTGGCCCAACGAATGTTCGTGCGATCCCCCGAGGGCCCTTCGTAAAACACCACCAACACATCACCGCCGGGCAGTTTCGCCGTCGCCGGCAGCCCCAGCGAGAAGGCATACATCTCATCCCAGGCTTCTTGCATGCTCTGCGATCCGGCGGCTGACTTGGGTCGAGTTGACTCGAACACCATCGTTTCCGTCGTCCCTGGCCAGTTCCGTCCTTCATCGCTGCTGGTGCGATACTTAATGGACGGTACCCCGGTTCGATCGACATACACCAGCGCGATCCGCCCGTCGTCCAGCTTCACGGGCGCCGCCGGTTGACCGGGAACTTCTATATCCCACTGCTCTGACCATTGCCGCCCTCCATCGGTCGAACGTCGGGCGTGGATGTTTAGATACTTGCCCGCCTCGCGGTCAAATGTCCAGAAGACATCAAGCAACCCATCGTCGCCCAAATTCCCCAGGCGTTGATCCCAATAAAAGATCCTTCGCGTCGGGTCGTCACTCACCACGCATTGCTCGGTCCACGTTGCTCCACCGTCGCGGGAGAATACCAACACCGATTGATGCCGCCACGGTGCGGGATCATCGTACGGCTTGTTGAGTTCAACCTGACAGATCAGCCCTCCATCGGCCAGGCAAATCACCGGCCCCGTCGTCGGTGAGGGAACCGCAAACGGCCGCGGCACCATGAACCGCGCCGGCGACCAATGCTCACCATCGTCGTTCGAGAAGGACAGACACATCCGGGTATCGAGCAAGCCCTCGGTCTGTTCGTTGAAGAAGGGGCGCGAGTCGTCAGGCAACTCAACCCACGACAACACCGTCAGCAGCCGACCATCGTTGAGTGCAGTGACATGCCCCGTTCGCAAGGTTCCGGCCACACCGTGTTCCGTCGGCGGAGCTGCAAATGACTCAGCCGGCGAACTCCACGTGTGTCCTTCGTCGTCGCTGTAGCACAGCACAACATGTTGCCCTGCGGTGGCGGCCTTCGTCGGTGCCGCGCGAAAGCTGCACAGCCATCGCCCACTCGCGGTGATGCAGATGCCGGGGAACGCGCAACTTTGCCGGTTCGGCAGTTGACCACCGTCGTACACGATTCCCTGGTCGACTAGCTTCATCGTTGACTCTTCGGGCTGAGGCGTTTAAGTGCAGGTTTCACGGGGCAGGGGAGGGCATTTGGCTGCAGCGTGAGTTTGAGCGTGTAAAATGGACATAAACTTCAAGCCGCACAACGCTAGACAAGGGAGAACAATCTTGAGGGCAATTCCTTGGCGGGGAAACCGCAGCTTGTTTGGCCGATCGATCGCACTCGCAGTATTGTGCTCGTTCCTGGCTGCCACTTTCAACCAGCAAGCACATGCCGAAACAATTGTTACCGACTTGCTCATCGTCGGCGGTACCGAATCGGGGTGTGCGGCGGCGGTGCAGGCGGCGCGGCTGGGTGTGGAGTCGATCACGCTGGTCAACGATATCGACTGGCTCGGGGGACAGTTCTCAGCCGAAGCCCTGGTGGCCATCGACGAAAATCGGGGGCCCGAGGGGTACGGGCATGGTGTGCCGTTTCCCCGCTCGGGCATGTTCAAGGAGGTGATCGATCGCATCGAAGCCCACAACCTAGCCACCTACGGTAAGGCCCGTCCCGGCAACACCCGGGTCATCACCACCTGCCGCCCTTCCGATGCCGAACGGGTGTTTCGCGAATTGCTGGCGCCCTACGTTGAGTCGGGTCAAGTTCAGATCATCGCCGATTACTATCCCATCGACGCCGAGGTTGAAGACAATCGCTTGGTGTCGCTGACGTTCGCTTCGACAAGTGATGAAGCGGAGCTTGAAGTCCGACCGCGGATGACGATTGATGCTTCGGACTGGGGCGATGCGATCAAACTCAGCGGGGCTGCCTACGAGTTCGGGCCCGACCTACAGCAGAAGTATGGTGAACCGCTGGCTCCGACCTCCCGCGAGGCGTATCCACTGACCGACATGAACCCCATCACGTACTGCATGGTGCTGAACGAAGCGGAGGAGTATCAGGCCATCCCTGCACCGCCGGGATACGATCGTCGCAACTACACCGAGCACCGCTATCCTCGCGACCCGTTATGGTTGTATGCCAGCCGCCGTGTGATTGACCACTACGGCTTCCCCGAGATCGATCACCCCGACGTGGTCCTGCTGTGCTTTCCCGCGTTCGACTACCCCCTCGATGTGTTGCCGGGGGCGGTCGTCCGAAAGTTGGAGGCCACTGAACCCGGGGCATCGCGGAAGAACATCGTCGAGATGACTCGCGAGCAACGGCAGATTGTTTTCGACGATGCCAAGCAGTACTCGCTCGGCTTTCTGCATTACTTGCAAACCGAGGTGCACGATGCGATGGAAGACCAGACGCACAGTTTTCGCCGGATGCAACTCAGCGATGAGTTCGGTACCGACGACCGCATGCCGCCTAAGCCTTATGTGCGCGAATCGCTACGGCTGAAGGCGATGTACATGATGCGGCAGCAAGACACCACCGGGCACGGCTCACGGGCGACCAACTTTGCCACCGCGATGTACCACGACGGGGTCGCCGCCTGGCAGTTCGAGTACGACTTCCATCCCACCAAGCGGCGGTTTCTCGACGCCGGCGATCACGACGGGCCCTGGGCCAACGAGTTTCGCGAAGGCCGCACCTGGGGACCGCCCTACAGCGGGCCGAGCTTGTTTCCGCTGCGGAGCCTGGTGCCGGAGAGGATCGATGGGCTGCTGGGGGCGCAGAAAAACTTGGGTTACAGCAGCATCGTCAGTTCGGCCGTCCGTTTGCACGATCAGAGCATGGCCATCGGGCAAGCCGCCGGGGCCGTGGCGGCGGTTGCGCTTGAGCAAGAGGTTCAGCCCCGGGCGATTCCCTACAGCCGCGAGTTGTTGGCCCAAGTGTGGAACGCACTGGCCACCCGACTCGATGGTGGCGTTCCGCAGACGCTGTGGCCGTTTCGCGATTTAGACCCAGAGCACCCAGCATTCGAGGCAATCAATCTTCTGGCCGTGCGAGGTGGGTTGCCGCTCAAGTTCAATGAAGTCGATTTCCGCGCCGATGATCCCGCAACCGAGGAGTGGAAGCAGGCGGTTGTCGATCTCTCGCTGGC